GTCCATTTCAAGTTAATGATGTGAGTTTAATAGTAAAGGTTAAACATAGTTAAAAGAAAAAAATGACCATAAATAAATATGTACCTGTCAGTATTCACTGTAATTGTAAATGGCTTAAGTGCTCCAATCAAAAGACACAGGGTAGCTAAATGGATAAGAAAGCAAGACCCATGTATGTGCTGCCTCCAAGAGACCCACCTCAGGAACTGAAACATACACATTGCCTAAAAGTAAAGGGATGGAAAAAAGATATTTTCTGAAAATGGAAAAGAAAGAGAAGCGGGGATGTGCCATTAAAGGGCACATATGAGATTGTGGCCAGTTAATTTGGAAGTTCGGATTCACAGACAATTAAAACCCCAAGTCAAATATGAGTAACTAAGCACTTTATTAAGCAAGAGCAAAGTGAAAGCAAGAATGAAGATCATACATCACCAGATGGGAGTTCACCAGCACCTGGACATAGGTGCTGGGAATCCCGGAGACAGCATTCAGGTCTGACAGGAAAGTGCCAAGTGAAACGTCCTTCTTCAAAGTGTCACTTTAGGGGCTATGGTTAAATGTGTTTTAGACAAAAGTGGCTACACACCAAGGGCCTTGTGTGACTTGACTCACCAATAGGTCCCTCTGGGAGAAGGGCCAGTTCTCCCTGGGAGGGAACACATCTATATTTCATTCTTACAATAAAGGTCATGGCTTGGGGATAAACAAGGAGGATTCTCAGTGTCCCTTTAACCCATCATGGGGTAGCAGTACTTAATACTGACAAAATAGATTGTATTGTGTTATTTTTTAAGTATTTTATTTATTTAATTTTAGAAGGGAATGGAAGGAGACAGAGAAGGAGAGAAAAACATCATTGTGTGGTTGCCTCTCACATGCCCCATACTGGTGACCTGGCCTGCAACCCAAGCATGAGCCCTGACTGGAAATTGAACTGGCGACTTTTTGGTTCACAGGTCCATGCTCAATCCACTGAGCTACACCAGCCAGGGCACAAAATAGACTTTAAAACAAAGGCTTTAATAAGAGACAAAGAAGGACACTACATAATGATAAAGAGAGCCATCCAACAAGAGGATATAACCCTTCTAAACATTTATGCACCCAACACAGGAGAATCTAAATATATAAGGCAAATCATAATGGACATAACAGGGAAAGATTGGCAGTAATAGATCTTCCAGACAGAAAGTCAACAGGGAAATGGTGGCTTTAATGACACACTTGATCAAACGCATTTAATTGATGTCTTCAGAGCATTTCACCCCAAAGCAGCAGAATACACATTCTTTTCAAGTGCACATGGAACATTTTCCAGGATAGACCACCTGTTAGGTCACTAAACAAGTCTCAATTTAAGAAGAATGAAATCATATCAAGCATCTTCTCTGACCATAATGGTATGAAACTAGAAATCAATCACAAGAAAAAAACTGGAAGACACAAAAAGACATGGAGGCTAACAAACAGTAAACGTGTTAACCTCATGGAAGAGAAGAACGGGTTAACCATCAAGGAAGAAATTGAAAGATATCTTGAAACAAATGAACATCAGAACACAACAACCCAAAAATCTATGGGACACAGTGAAAGGCTAAGAGGGAAACTCATAGCATTACAGGCTTATCTCAAGAAACAAGAAAAATCTTGAACAATCTAGCTTTACCCTTAGAGGAACTTGAGAAAGAACATCAAGCAAAGCCCAAAGTTAGTAGAAGGAAGGAAATACAAAGATTAGAACAGAAATAAATGAAATCTAAAAAAAAAACCACAAAAGATCAGTGAATCCCACAGCTGGTTCTTTTAAGATAAACCTTTAACCAGATTCATCAAGAAAACAAGAGACAGAGCACAAATAAAATCAGAAGTGAAAGAGGAGAAGTAACAGTTGACACCAAGAAATACAAAGGTTGTAAGAAAATACTACAAACACCTATGTGCCAAAAAAATTGGACAATCTGAATGAAATGGATAGATTTCTAGAAACATACACTCTTCCAAAACTGAATCAGGAAGAATCAGAGAATCTGATTAGATAGATTACAACTAGTAAAACTGAAGCAGTAATTAAAAAAAAAAACCCCAACAAACAAATGTCTTGGGCTGGATGGCACCACAGGTGAATTTTATCAAAATTTAAAGAACTGACACCTCTCCCTCTCAGACCATTCCAGAAAATTCAGGAGGAGTGAAGACTCCCAAGCTCATTTTATGAGGCCAGCATTATCCTAATTCCAAAATCAGATAAAGACAATACAAAGAAAAAGAAAATTATAGGCCAGTATCTCTGATGAACATAGATGTTAAAATCTTCAACAAAGTATTAACAAACTGAATCCAGCAATACAGTGAAAAGGTTATACACCATGATCAAGTAGGACTTATTCCAGGAATGCAAGCTTGGTACAGTATGTGCAAATCAGTAAACGTGATTAAACAAAATGAATAAAAGCCACGTGAGCCCTGGCTGGTGTCAGTTGGTTGGAGTGTTGTCCTGTGGATCAAAGGTCACTGGTTTGATTCCCAGTCAGAGCACATACCCAGGTTGTGGGTTCAATCCCTGGTCATGGTGCATCTGAGAAGGCAACCAATTGATGTTTCTGTCTTGCATCAATCTTTCTCTTTCTCTTCTTCTTTTTTTTTTTCTAAAAGCAATGAAAAAAATCTTATGGTGAGAATTTTTTAAAAAAGGAAAGAAAAAAAATTCCCCACATGACCATATCAATAGATGCAGAAAAGGCATTTGATAAAATCCAGCACCCATTTATGGTAATAAAAAAAAAACTCCCAGCAAAATGGGAATAGAAGGAACATATCAGTGTTATAAAGGCCATGTGTGATAAACCCACAGCCAATATCACACTCAGTGGGCAAAAACTACAAATGTTTCCCTTAAGATTGGGAACAAGACAGGGATGTCCATGTTCAAACCTCTTATTTAACATAGTTCTGGAAGTCCTAGCCACAGCAATCAGACAAGAAGAAATAAAAGGCATCCAAGTTGTGAAGGAAGAAGTAAAACTCATTTGCAGATGAGATGGTACTGTTTATAGGGAACCCTAAAGATTCTACCAAAAACCTGTTATAGCTCATCAATGAATCCAGTAAAGTAGCAGTGTACAAAATAAATACCCAGAAATCATTGCAGTTTTATATACCAATAATTAACATAAATGAAAACTAAGAAAATCCCACTCACAGTTGCTTCAAAAAAATTACCTAGGGATAAATTTAACCAAGGTTGTAAAAGACCTGTACTTGGAAACATAAAACTGAAGAAAGACATTGAAGAAGATACAGACAAATGGAAGCATGTATCATGTTCATGGATACGAAGAATTAACATCCTTACAATGTCCGTAGTACCCAAAGCAATCTGTAGATTCAACACAATTTCTATTAAGATAGCAATGGTGTATTTCACAGAACTAGAACAAATACTCCAAAAACTTACATGGAACCACAAAAATCCAGAATAGCCACAGTAATCTTGAGAAAGGAGAATGAAGTTGGAGGAATCAGGCTACCTGATATCAAACTATACTACAAGGCCATAGTAATCAAAACAGCGTGCTGCTGGCATAAAAACAGATGCATAGATCAATGGAACAGAATAGAGAACCTAGAAATTAACCCACATCATTATGGTCAATTAATATTGGACAAAAGAGGCAAGAACATGCAGTAAGGTAAAGGTAATCTATTCAATAATTAGTGTTGGGAAAATTGGGCAGATCCGTGCAACAGAATGAAACTAGGTCCTCCTCTTTCACCATACACAAGAATAAACTCAAAATGGATTAAAGACTTAAATGTTAGACTCGAAACCATAAAGACCCTAGAAGAAAATATAGGGAAATCACGGACATTTCTCGTAGCAATATTTTTTTTCTGATGTATCTCCTCAGGCAAGGGAAACAAAAGGAAAAATAAACAAATGGGACTACATCCAACTAAAAAGTTTCTGCACAGCAAAGGAAACCATCAACAAAATGAAAAGACAACCCACTGAATGGGAGAATACTTTCACCAGTGATGCATCTGATTAGGGGTTAATGCCCAAAATTTAAGATAAAGATATTTGAAAGAATCTTCAGAATTTTGCACCTTTTGGTAATTCAAATTCAGCCTGTTTTATAACAGATTTTATATTCCTCATGCTATTAAGAAGTGAGATGCAAAATTGTGATCCCAAACCATTGCTGAAACTGACTTATAATTTGTATTCCAGTTATTGTTATATGACTAACATTTTATGATATTTAGTGGTATGAAGCAACCATTTTATAAGGCTTGTGGATTGTGTGTTCAGGAATTCAGGATAGGCACAGCAGGAAAGCTTTATGTCTGTTTCTGCAGATCTGAACGCTGGTTCTAACTACATAGTTGGTTTCATTTGAAGACTTACTCAGTCTTAAGTCTGGCACTTGATGCTTTTGGCTGGGACTTCAATTTGGCCTCATATGAAATAGTTATAGTGGCCTTTTCATGTGGTTGCTTGGACTTCCTTATAACATTTGGCCAGGTTTCAGAAGTGAGTATCCAGGAGAGCAAGACACAGTACATGATATTTTTATGATCTATCTTTAGAAGTCACATAATGCCACTTCAGTGTTGTTTGTAAGCCCATCCAGCTCATGGGAAAGGACTATAGAGCTTATTTCTCAGCAGGAGCTGTGTCAAAGTCATGTTGTTGGAGAGCTGATGTGTTGGGAGACATGTTATGGCCCTCTGTGGAAAGTAGCATATGCCAAGTTATGACAGTAAATTATGTTTAGTTCTAAGTAAGCCAGTAAAGGAATTTTTAAAGCAAGCACTTTTTTAAGTAAGGGTTGAAACAAGATTTAAAAATTTAATCCCCTCAAGTAAGATTTAATATGGAACCCTATTTCATAATAATTTTATGTATTAAAATTTTATTATTATGTTAAATTATAATCCCTTTGTCCTGTTTACCATTTATTAATAACACTTTTATTACTATTTTTATTTTTCAGATAAAACTATAAAATGTAACATGGATTCCTTGAGTGGTTCACCTACAAAAAAATCTGAAGAGAAACAACAATGCATCTCTTTAAAAGATGTAAATAAGGTATTTTTAAATGTTCATTAAATATAAAGTTCATGTAATGTTAATTTTAAAATATTCTCTTTTAGCCCTGGCTGGTGTGGCTCACTGGATTGAGTGCCAGCCCGTGAACCAAGGTTGACAGTTCATTTCCCAGGCAGGGCACATGCCTGGGTTGTGGGCCAGGTCCCCAGTAGGGGGCGTGTGAGAGGCAACCACACATTGATGTTTCTGTCCCTCTCTCCTTCCTTTCCCCCTCCCTAAAAGTAAATGAATAAAATCTTTGAAAAATTAGAATATTCTCTTAAAATCTAGGAATCAAAAATGTTTTCTGCTTAAAAAAATCCTTGGCTAGGGTAGTTCCTTTCATGAAAAAATACAGTTTGCTTTTTTGCTTTATTTCAAAAGAACAAGAACTCCAGGTCCCTCCTTGTTCTTGGCCTAGTGGCCTCTCTACAAATCTGGTATTTGCCTTTATTTTGACAAGGGTGTAAAAATCTGGGATAATGGGACACTATAATAGTTAAGTTCAGGACTGACCTATCCTTCCATTCCCTTTGACAAGATCGATGAAAGCAGTGACAGGACATTTTAAAGACCTGAATGCCAGCTCCCGGCCACATGGCCACTTCAGCTTAGTGGGTAGAGCAGTAGTATCATCAGCTCTTTGTCTCCCCACATCTCTGTTGCCTGAAAATTGTCCTAGATGGTTGTTGATGAGAAACATTCCCTAGAATTTTGATTCCTCAAGAATCTCTATTTTGCTAGCCTATATATTTTTTCTGGAAAAATTTGTTTTTACAGTGTGTTGAATCTTCAGTGTACTGGCCAGCAAAAAGAGGCATAACCATATATGCTGATCCAGATATACCAGCACCCAGGTATGATTTGCATATTTAGTGTAAGTGACTAGAGTCTTAAGTGTAATATCGTTTTGTATAAGATCAATAGTAGGAAAGTATTCACTTTAAAAAACTGGCCCTGGAAATTTTGGTTATAAACATATATTAATCTAAGAAAAATGTTGTGATAACTGGCTAGCAGACCGAAAACCGGTAGTGGCTCTAGAGTCTCCTGTGTCCTTGTCAGACAAAGTTGTCACAGGGCAGGTCCAGCGAGGTTGTCTCGGTGAGAGGTGCGGGCAGATGTGGGCCAGAAGGCAACGCCACACGGGGGGAAGGAGAGGATGGTGGTTATCTTCTTGAAGATGAGTATCAGAGACTAGACTGGAGCCCTGTCCTCATTAACATTCGTCTCAGTGGTGACAATGATGTCACAGACAGGATGTGACATGACACCACCTTGTACATCGTGTAGGATCTTAATACAGCGTGCTTTCGCTTCTCTCCTTCTGGACTTGATGCTAGTGCTGTCATATATTTCATTTTCACATTTGTTATAAATGTTAGAATCTGCAGTCATTTGTATTTAAACAGTTATCTTTTAGGGAGATTTAAATAAAAAGAAAATAATCTTGAATAGTTACCTAAGTAGTTACCATGAATGCTTCCTACTTTATGTGCAGATCCAGGCTTCTGTCTGGTGTCATTTCCCTCCCACCTGAGGGACCTTGTTACTGTTTCTTGTGTTGTGGGCCTGCTGGTGATGAATTTCTTTAGCTTTTGTGTGTCTGAAAAATTATTTTAGCTTATATTTTGAAAAAACATATTTGCTAGCTGTATAGTTCTAGGTTGACAGTCCTTTTCCCCCTGTATTGTGAAGACGTTGCCCCACACTTTGCTCCCTTGTATTGTTCCCAGTGGAAATGTATTATCGTGTTTTCCCTTGGACTGTCTTGAAGGTTTTCTCTTTATGACTGTTCTGAGCAGCTTCATTACATGCCTTAGTGTCATTTCTCTCATGTTTTTGGTGCTTGGAGTTCATTAGTGTTCTTTGTAGGCTTCTGTCTTCCATCAGATTTGGGGACTATTCAGCAGCTATTCTACAAATATTTTTTGTACACCAATCTCTTCTCCACAGCTTTTGATATTGATGAGACAAATGTCAGACCTTTGATACTGTCCAAAAGGTCCCTAAGGCTCTGTTTGTTTTTCAGCCTTTTTTTTCTTGCTATTCTTCAGATAAATAATTCTGCTTATCTATTCTTAATTGACTTTTTTGTCATCTTCATTCTGCTGTTGAGCCTATCCAGTGAATTTTTTGTTTTATATATATTTTTTTCAGTTCTAAAATTTTTGTTTTATTACAGTTTGTATTTGTTTGTAAAAAATTCTTTTTCAAAAAAAATAGATTTTATTGACTATGCTATGACAGTTGTCCCATTTTCCCCCCTTTATTCCCCTCTGCCCTGCACACCCCCTCCCACCCACATTCCCCCCCTTTAGTTCATGTCCATGGGTCATGCATATAAGTTCTTTGGCTTCTCCATTTCCTATACTATTCTTTACCTCTCCCCGTCTATTTAGTACCTACCATTTATGCTACTTATTCTCTGTACCTTCCCCCCATTCCACTCTCCCCCACCCACTCCTTGCTGATAATCCTCCATGTGATCTCCATTTCTATGATTCTACTCCTGTTCTAGTTGTTTGCTTAGTTTGTTTTTGTTTTTGTTTTTAGGTTTAGTTCTTAATAGCTATGAGTTTATTATCATTTTATTGTCCATATTTTTTATCTTTTTCTTAGATAAGTCCCTTTAACATTTCATATTATAAGGGCTGGGTCATGATGATCTCCTTTAACTTGACCTTATCTGGGAAGCATTTCATCTGCCCTTCCATTCTAAATGAAAGCTTTGCTGGATAGAGTAATCTTGGATATAGGTCCTTACCTTTCATGATTTCAAGTACTTTTTTCCAGGCCCTTTTTGCCTGCAAGGTTTCTTTTGAGAAATCAGCTGACAGTCCTATGGGAACTCCTTTGTAGGTAACTCTCTCCTTTTCTCTTGCTGCTTTTAAGATTCTCTCCTTATCTTTCATCTTGGGTAATGTAATTATGAGGTGCCTTGGTGTATTCCCCTTGGGTCCAACTTCTTTGGGACTCTCTGAGCTTGCTGGACTTTCTGAAAGTCTATTTCTTTTGCCAGATTGGAGAAATTCTCCTTCATTATTTTTTCAAATAAGTTTTCAATTTCTTGGTCTTTCTCTTCTCCTTGCACCTCTATGATTCAGATGTTGGAAAGTTTAAAGATATCCTGGAGGGTTATCAATGGGGGAGGTTCCTAAGCCTCTCCTCATTTTTTTAAAATTCTTGTTTCTTCATTCTGTTCTGGTTGAATGTTTCTTTCTTCCTTGTCCAAACTGTTGATTTGAGTCCTGGTTTCCTTCCCATCACTGTTGGTTCCCTGTAGATTTTTCTTTATTTCACATAATGCAACCTTCATTGCTGCCTGGGTCTTTTTTATGCTGTTGAAGTACCCAGTGAGTTCCTAGAGCATCTTGATAAACCAGTGTTTTGAACTGTGCATCTGACAGTTTGGCTATCTCTTCATTGCTTAGTTGTATTTTTTCTGAAGCTTTGAAGTGTCCTTTCATTTGGGACATTTTTTTTGTCTCCTCATTTCTGTTACATAGTGAGGGGCAGAAACTTAGGTGTTCACCAGGGCAGGGCAACCCATGTGGTTGTGTCGTGTCATTCTGTGTGGGGGAGGGGTCCAAGAGGGAATAATGCCACTTGCTCCACTCTCTGTCGGTTTTCAGTCACTTCCCTGGCCACCCACAGTCAAATTGGGCCCTTCTGGTGTTGATTCCCCAGTGGGTTGGCCTGTATACATTCTAAAACCCTGTGGGTCTCTCCAAAGAACTCTTTGTGAGGCTGGGAGTTTCTCCTGCTGCTGCCTCAACCCCTACAGGTGTTTTCAGTCAGAGGCTTTGAGGCCTTATTTCCCCATGCTGGAACCTGGGGTTGGGGGGTCTATCTTTGTCCCCAGTTGTTCCTCCCTGTTTATCTGCATGCAAATGTGGGACCACCCAGTCCAAAATCCACCACCTCAGTGGGTCCACCAGCCACTGCCTTGCCTCGAGTCCTCTCCACCCAGTTGCCCATCTCTGCCCCTCCTACCAGTCTGGATGAATGTTTCTTCTTTAACTCCTTGGTTGTTGGACTTCCATACAGCTCAATTTTTCTGTCAGTTCTGATTATTTTTTGTTTTTAAATTTGTTGTTGTCATTCTTTTGGTTGTGCGAGGAGGCACAGTGTGTCTACTTACGCCTCCATCTTGGCCAGAAGCCCTGTTTGCAAAGAATTTTCTTGTTGCATTCAGGAGTGCTCACCTTTCCCTTTCTTATGGAGCATGGTTATAACTGCTGCTTGATAATTCCCACTTCTGAGTCATCTTGGGGTTGGCACCTGTTGATTATTTTTTCCCTTAACAATTGATCTGATTTTTCTGGTTCTTTGTATGTTGAGTAATTTTGGATTATATTCTAGAATTTTGAATATTAGGATATGAAGGTCTGGTTTCTTTTAAAATCCTCTGTAGGACATTAAGTTTTCCTTGTTCATTTGTTTTAGATTGGGGTCACTGTGGAGCGAAACAGCAATGGAAATAAGAGAGGGAAAAAGATGGAGCTTGTCCTCACACAATCTTTAGACTGCATGGTCCCCAATTCCCAGTTCCAGAGGGAGGAGAGGTTTTCTCTCAGAGTTTCAGGGGACCACACTGCTGGTGCTATTGCATCATGCAGCTCTGGGATCAGAGCTGGTCCTGGGCGGGACCAGGAGGGAAAAAAAAGGAAAAGTCTGTCGGATTCCCCAGTCTGTGTGATGCTTCTCTTCTGAGTTCTCTAACCTGAAATAAAAGGTTTTCTGGTCTAGATCTCCCGCACAGCCCCAAGTCTCAGGCTGTCCTCAGTTCACCACTAAGCTGTGGAGGAAGGTAAAAACTTAGGGAATCTCCACGATTTGGTGGTTTTTCACATCTTCACTTCTGGCCCCTGTAGTTTTGTCCTTGCCCAGAGTTTCTAGTGGTATTCAGGAGGAGGCAGGGGCTCTAGGGAGCTTACTCCCTCCTGCAAGCACCAAAACTGTCAAAATGGTGTTTCCACTGAAAGGGCTCAGCTTCAGTTCCCATATAAACTCACTCATGGAGATCAGCTTGTTCCCCAGCGGTGCTTTGAAAGTTTTGTCCCAGGAAATAAAGATCTTTTCAGGATTGGGGTAAATGAGCTTAGAAATTTGAATAAATGTTTTTTACTTTCTAGTGCTTTATGTGAGAAGTCAAACGAGAAACCACTTCGACTGGCTGAGAAGAAAGAACACAATGAGAAGAATGGCTGTGTAAAGTATGAATTTTTTTCCAGGTCTAAATTTTTTATTGAAATAGTTGTGATGAAATTGTAAGCAGAATTTATGTATGATTTTATTGTAAACGTCAAACCTGTCAATTCCCATTAAAAACTACACACACAGGTCTTCTGTAGGCTTTGAAGTCCGTTTTTTCTTTTCCATTTACATAGGGTAGATTTTTCTGTTTAAAGTCCTCTTCCACTTTAAATAGACATTTCCTAACCCCTCTTTCTGATTCTCTTGGTGAAGCAACCAATTTTATGAAACAAATTAGATATGGTTGATCTTGTGGGGCTGTTGATTTTATAGGGGGTGGTGGTTGTTTTCTTTCCATTTTTCTGATGTTAAATAGTTTTATCACCTGCTGGAAAAACTGTTTAATTATTTGCAGTGTGGAACTTGGAGATTTTTTTTTGTCCTGCCAGATTCGAAAATTGTTCACTACAAGTTGTTAATCATAGAATAATAACTTCATTTTATATTCGTTCAATCTACAAAGTATTTTCCTACCTACGGTTAAGATTTCTTACCATAGCCACCTAAAGACCCTCTTACATTTCAAGTACTGTGGCCACTCTGAAGCTACCAGTGTGACCGAGAATTTGAGATGGCTCAGAAACAGCTGTAGGTCACACTGTTCACTGGTAGCTCGGGATGACTGGGGAGGGGTGCCGACCATGCAGTCATCTTGCTCCCCAGCTTCCCAGAGGCCACACTGGCCCTATGACAGCCCCTCCTCCAGCAGGAGCTCCTCATAGTGCTTTGAGGCCAGGAGCTTTGAAGGCTGCCCTGGTGTGCACAGGTCTGGGCAGCACCCTGACTGACATCCTTCTCCCAGGGCATCCTCTGCCCGGTACCTGAAAGGTGTGGTGCTATAGCGATTATTTTCCCTGGAACAAAAGACCTTGCATTGTCCATGGAGCTCCTTTCTTTCTTCTATTATTACATGAAGTATTAGTAAATTAACCCTGAGATATCTCTTTTACCTTATGTTTTTGTATTTGGAAGGTTGTATTTTGTTTCCTGTTTGGCTCAATGCCCTTTATTTAGAACCCACTGATTAAATGACATAGTCCACTGTGGGTTGCAGGGAGCTTGGGAAGTGTTCAAGATTAAACAGCGAAGAAGGAAGGAGCCAGTGGATTTTTTAGGAACTTGTGATGACCTGGTGATCATGCTGTCAGAATAAGTGGTCCCGGGACTGGCAGTTCTGTGTCCACAGCCTGAGGCCCGGGGTAGGGGTGGAGGTCAGGGAAGCACGGGACTGGTGTGACCACGGTGGCCTCTGCAGCACAGTGAACAAGGCAAAACAGAACAAGCAGAAATTTCACAGCTGTGTCTTGGACTGTGTAGTTCACTTTACCTCACTCGACCGGTCAAGGAGGAATTAAAACAATAACTCAGTTGAAGAAATAGTCTTTTTTTCCTTCAAATTATCCTTTTAACTATTTTACAGATTATTGCAGTTTTTAAATCCTGATCCTCTGAGAACTGACGGAATCTCTGATCTGAAACAGGTATTACAATCCTAAAAAAAAAGTAATAAAAAATTAAAAGAAAACTGTTTACTTTTTAAATCTTTCTTGCTCCCTCTAAACTTGAGATGGGAAGAGAAACTCAGTTGGAGACCATCTAAAGACATCCTTTTAGAAACTGTCTAGTGACTTAGTGCTTTAGAGAAATGTTTTTTTGCGGGGGAGGATGATAATAGAAGGTCTTCCTTTCATTTTGGTGGTTTGGGTGGTTTCTGATAAGCATATATACCTAGGCTTTTTATCAAAATCAAACTCTCTTTTTCATTTCCATAAAGTTCCTGATCTTCTGCGCTAATGCCACAGGGCAGAGCTGGCTCACGTGTGTGTTCTCTAGTTGCAGAAGCTGACGAGCTCGCAGCCGCCCTCTGCCCTGCTCCAGAACAGGGTGGAGCCTTGCCTCTCCCTCGACACGGCGCCGCTGTCGGCCGGCCTGAAAAAGGTAAAAGTGGTCCTGAAACCAAATTAAAGAAGTCCCATGCTTCCCCCACTCTCACCCCCACCCGGGCCTCAGGCTGTGGACACAGAACTGCCAGTCCTGGACTGCTTGCTCTGACAGCATGATCACCAGGTCATCACAAGTTCCTAAAAAAATGACCTGCCCGAATGTAAAAGGATTTTAAATAAACGCTTCTCCTAATGTTGTATTTGTATAATTTTGTTGCTTTTGAAATTCTCTTTTGAGCTTTTGTTACTACTTATTCTTTTTATTTATTTATTACTGTTGTTCAGTTACAGTTGTCCCACCCCCCGCCTTGTTCCCCCCTGCCCCGCCCACTCCCACCGTCAGTCCTCGCCCCAGTGTCCGTGCCCATGTTCCTAATTTTTTATTTGTTCTGAAGTCCAGGTTAACTTCTTACAAGTGAATAATTGTTTTGTGGGGAAACCATTGTGTAACTGTAAGTGCTTTTCTGAAATACGTTTTCAGATGTGCCTGTGGAGAGGGGCTTGGAAGGAGCAACAAGCTGCCAGGGCAGTTACGATACAGACTTCTTAGCATTATTTTCCAAAGTGCTTTATGGACCTGTGGCTTCACTTAGTAAATTGGTCATTGATTATCTACACTTCCCTCTTGATACAAACAAAGTTTTAAAGTTTTTTTTTTTAAGATAAAACCATGAGGGTGGATAGAATGAAAGCAAAGTTTAGTAGAAAAGAGCTTTCCACAAATTTCGGGTGCTGAAAAACAAGCAGCAGAATGTGACGGACATTCCCGAGGAAGGGGTGAAGTGGGCGGGGGTCCTGAACTTCCCCACACTGTTTCCTGAACATCCACAGCCAGCTAGTTTCTCAGGAAGGAGATTGAAGGCTTTTCTTTTGAGCACCTGAAAGGCCCTAGAAATGACCTTTAAACCATCTTTTTTAAAAAAAGATTTTATTTATTTAGAGAGAGGGGAAGGGAGGAAGAAAGGGAGAGAAACATAAGCATGTGAGAGCTACATCAATAAGTCGCCAACTGGGGTCCTGGCCCGCAACTCAGGCATGTGCCCTCACTGGGAACTGAACTGGCAGCCTTTCAGTTTGCAGGCTGGTGCTCAATCCACTGAGCCACACCAGCCAGGGCAGAAATGACCTTTAGATGATGGTGTCTGGAATTCTCCCAGTAAGAATGTGTGCTTGCTGCCCTTCCTTCCTGCAGTGATATGGCTCTTATGTGGTACGGAGCTGTGCCCTGCTCACACCTCTTCCTATCAGTTCTTAGTGTTTTCTTCCACTGGAGCAGAACATCGGGGATCTTTGGGTATTTGAGGAAAGCCCTCACCCCTGGAAAAAGAGATCAGAACAAGCTCTGAAGTAAACAATGTACGGAGTAGAAGAAAACATTAGAAATTAAATGTCCTCCGAGATAGGATATATTACAGTATGAATTTAACAATAACAGGGCACTATAGATTCTTGGAAATTCAAAATGTTATGTAAATTAAAAAGTAGTTGATAGGTCAAATGGAAGCGAACTATCAGCAAGTATTACAGAACAAAAGACAAATGGAAATAGGGAAGAAAAGAAAAATTGAGTGTCAGTTTGAGGTCTGATGTCTGAAATGGGATTTCTAAAAGGAAGGGAAAGGGCAGAAAATTCAAAGAAGAGTAGCACATGAATGATTTCTAGACTTAATGGATATGACTGTCCAAATCAAGGGGTTTACCTGCGGCAGGCCCAGCACAACAAGGAACAAGATAGTTGATGTTGTGAAGCGTCTGAACTGGGGGGATTCAGAGGTCCTGGTGGATCCCAGAGAGAGGAAGCTGGTCCTGCACACAGGACCAGGAAGTTGTGTCTTACCTAGAGGTCTGCACTTAAACTACCAAGAAGGTCTGAGGATAGCAGGAAGACATTGTCAGACAAGCAGAGTCCTCAGATTTACTTTCTCTGTACCCCTTCTCAAGAAACTACTGAAATATGTTTTCCACCAACACAAGAATGTAGGCAAGAAAGAAGACAGCTTGAGTTGCAGACAAAGGGCGATGACGGCGCAGGGAGCTCCCAGGACGGCAGCTGCATACCAGGTGCAGCACGGAACCAGTCCTGATTGCAGTGGGGTTCAGGGCCCGGGGAGGGGGCACTGACTTCATGGAGGTAATGGTGCTGATGGGGTCAGCCTTTTGGAAAATAGTATTGAACTTTTGGGAGGGGGGTTTTAGTGACAGTAACAGAAAATAAGCAAATAAAGGCATGTATTTAAAAAGCTGTACAAGTGAAACTGATGTACCAGCAGATTTTGAGAAAAAGGAGAAGCCACATCCTTGCTCTGGTGAGCTTCAAGCACCTGGTTGGTCAGTGGATCCTTTAATTGGGAGCCTCGGGAAGCCAGAACCTTCTGGCAGGAGTTTGGTGCTTGAAAAGATTCAGCAGGACTTATGGAGTTAGGTCTTAAAAAATACCAGACTGAGCAGTGTATACATGTTGTTGTTAGGGTAAATGAGCAATGAAATGGGTTTTTAAAAATTAGTTTACTTTATTGTGGTTTTTGGTTGTTGTTGATGTTTTTTAGGCTCTTCAAAGAAATAAGTTTCTGGGACCTAGCCACACTGAATCTTACTCTTGGCCTCCCATAGCACGTGGCTGTGATGTGGTTGTCATTTCTCAGTGTGGAAATGACCCTTTGTTGTACCTTCCACCAGTGCTTACGATTTTGCAGACAGGGGGCTGCTACAAGTCATTACCAAGTAGAAACGGAGTAAGTTGAAGACCATTTTGTTTCACAACACAGTGGATTGAATGTTTATTGTAAGTCGCATGCCTTGCCTCTGGTAAACTTCAGTTGCATCACTCATTTGGTGTTCGTGCTGGCAGGACAGCTGCTGTCCTATGAGGAACTTTTCTCATTTCACAGCCATTGCTTCCCTCACACAGACTCTCCCCCGTGGCCCCTACTTGGGTGCCACCTGCTGGGTCAGAAGAGCCCTGGCTTGTAGAGACAAATTCTTAGTTTATAAAAGGTACCTCAGTGATTTAATGTAATTGTCATGGCAACCCTGTGAGATGGTTAGGCCAGGTATTCTCTTCACCATTTTATAAATGAGAACATTAAATTCACGAAAAGTCACTGGGATAAATTCTTAGCAGCTGACAAGTGTGACAAGAGGTGAGACGAGGATGTGGGTGTTCTGTCATCTCATCTCATATTGTTTGAAATAACTTCATGGCGCCCCCACACTGCTTTTTAAGCCTGCTTTGTTTTTCCCCGGGTGGAGGAGTCTGAAAATAGCTGAAAGGATGACGGAGAGGAGAGAACTGGGGACCAGTATGGGGACCAGTGAGGAGAGAAGTGTGGGGACCTCTGCTTTGCTGGGTCGGGCCATTGAGGAAGCCGGCATGCACAAGGCCTTTGTTTGGACCCTGGCCCAAAGGACACACAGGATAAGGTGAAAATTAGCAGTGCAAAAAGATACTTAGAATTGCATTTTAGAAAAGATACTAGTTTATTTTTCTAATTATGCTAGGTAGTTTAATGATTTTCCTTTGGAAATTGGCATTGGCTAAATTATTGTGTATTGATTCAATAAAACAAAATGGATACACTTGCATCCCTGAGTTAGTTGGCAGTTGGCCCGTATTGAGGAGATGCAGCTTGTGTGGAGATAGAACTCTGGCTGGGCCAGGAAGGGATGTGCACGTCTTATCTCTTGTGTCCACTCTGTGTTCTCTGCATCTCTATGGTCAGTCTGCTTTTAGGCCTGACACCTGGGAAGCTGGTGCTCACCTGGAAAGCGGAGACTCATTCTTGTCTTCAGTAAATTGAAGGCAGGTGTCTCAGAAGGTATTCAGTAGGCTGTGCACCTTCGGGAGATACCTATGGGGTAGTGCAAGCAGAAAATGCAGTCTCCTATGGAAGGGAAGTTAACCTTTTTAAGGCCCCTTTCAGGAAGCAGTTCGTTCACCTTGGTGCTTAGGAGCAGGAGCCCCAGAGTCAGACTGCCTGGCTGCAGACCCTATTGCCACCATGTATTAGCTTGCAGCCTCAGGCCACTGACTTCAGCGGTCTGCACCTCAGATGCCCCTCTGGGAAATGAGGCAGTGAGAGGTCCTATCCTGTAGGAGGGCATGAGGATTAACTGAATCGGTACTTGTGAGGTGCTTAGTTCAAGCCCTAGGAAAATCTGAGTCAATGTGTCTAAATCCATTTTAATACAATTGCATATTTTCTGACCTATTCATGGTCATAATGATGATGATAAAAATTTATGTAGTGCTCACTCCATACAAGAAGATGTTCTGCATGCTTCACAGGTACTGTGTTTAGTTCCTAACTTTTGTCCAAAATTATGTGAATTTGTTTGTCTTTGCAGCCTCTGGCAGTCATCGTGTGTCCTGGGTGGAGAAAGGCCCAATGTATTTTTGACTTATTGGGAGAGTATAGCGTGTCCTCCAGGCCTCTTCATCCTATGGTGTTAACCATTGGACTCCACAAAGACGAAGCCAAAAATATGAAGCTTCCAAGGGGGTGTAAGCATCCTTCCAACTGTTTGGTGTTCCCTACAGAACACGGTGGAAGCCTGCCCAGGCGGCCTGCCCTGGGAGCAGCAGATGGCTCAGGACTGTGTGGCTGCAGCAGACAGTCACTAGTTCAGACCACCCCTGTTAATTACTGATGGGTGGAGGTGATGAAGGTTTGACTTTGGCTTACCTCTGTGAGAAAAAGAGAATAGAACACTCCACGATTTCATTCATTTATCAACTGTCTACTGAACACCCACTGTTTGTTAGATGTTGACTAAAACCCTCCCTGTCTCTCAGGAGTGCAAAACTTGGTGGGAGCCCAGGTATTTAATCAGATAATGAGAGGGGTTGTTAGCTGGGCAGGTACACTTCTGCCTTGCCCACCTGAATGAAAAAAACAGTTTTGTTTTTCCTCACCCAAGAACATGAGAGAGAAAGAGTGGGATGGGGAGAGAGAGAAGCAGTGGTGTGAGAGAGAAACATCAATCAGTTGCCTCTTGTGAGCACCCTGACTGGGGACTGAACCCTCAACCTAGGCGGTATGTGCCCTGACCGGGAATCAGACCCACCACCTTGCGGTTATGGGATGGTACTCCCACCAGCGGAGCCACACAGGCCAGGACATTTTCTGTTTTCTTGGAAGGCATTTCTACAGAGTGTCTGAAGTCTTAGGAAAGGAAATGCTAGAAAAACCTGTGGGAAGTCTAAAATGTTATGTTTTTTCTTTTAAAATATAGGTGATATAATTGTTACAACACCACATAGCCTCTTGAGACTTTTCAAATATCAAAGCTTGTTATTTCTTAGACTCTGCCACCTCATTTTGGACGAGGTGGAAGTATTACTCTCTGAAGCTAATGAACAAGTAAGTATGACATCCATTTAGATGTTATTACTACTCAGAAATAGATATATAATTAAAGTCTTCACTGTTTTTAGGATTCAGGAAAAATATCTACTTGGGGTAGAAGCTGGTTAATCTAAAAAAATCTCCCTTTACGTTCTATAATTAAGAGAATATTCTTCCCAGTGTTGAAGTTTTCTTTGAAAAGCAAAAATTCTTTCCTGTGGATATTTTTTTCTATTTATTTCTATTGAGAAATACTTTCTAAATTATTTAATTAATATGTTTCAAATTATAAAAGCAATTTTTATGTTAGAAATTCCAAGAAATAGAGGAGAGCACTCAAAAAACCCCAACATCCATAATCTTACACTCAGAGGGAATCACTATTTTACTATATTGGAGTATGTATTTTTTGTAATTCCTCTATCTTTTGAAAGAGGAATTAACCAAGTCAGTACCTTTATGTGTGAATTTATCACTCGAGTTCTTCAGTCAATAGCATTGTGTTGTTACTCTTCTGCAGCATGATCGTTACTGGCCATGTGGCCTTGAACCCTATGGACAGAACAACTTATTTTATGGTCATCTTGTTTTTAGACATTTAGCATCTGTGTGTGTGTGTGTGTTTAGAGAGCATACCTCTTGTTAGCACATTTCCCTTAGCGTAAATCCCTAGGAGGGGGATCACGGATCAAAGACTGAATTTTTATCAGGCATTTGTTGGAAGCAATGTAACATTATGACCGGGAGCACTCATTTGGGAGCAGGTTTCAGTCCAGGCTTTCTTACTTACTGGCTCTGGGAGCCTGTGCAGGGTTTCCGAATGCCTCTACAATCTCAGTTCTTACTGGAAAACTAATACCAGAGTCCCGCATTGGTACAGTTGCCTCTCTGAAAGCATGGACCAGTTTACACTCCCCTGGGCAGTGTGCTGCCACACTGCACTCCCTGCACCCTGGCAGGGGGCACCTCGGTCCAGCTTTCTTTTCTGGTCCAAGGATTAAACATGGCATCTGATTGGTTTAATCTGTATTTCCTTGATTACATATTGGCCATTTATTCCCATTCTTCCATGAGCTGCTTGTTTATTACTTTGCTTATTTTCTCTTGGTGGGATTATCTTTTTCTAATTAATTTGTTAAAGTTTTTGTGTAAGGATGTTAATTCTTTGTTACATAATATTATATGTATTTACCCAGATGTTAATGTTTTAGTTTTGTGTACACCTAACATTTTCCCCTCTTTTGTTTTTTCCTTTACTTTTATGTTTGTAAACGCCTTCCCACTTTGAAAACAGAATGTTATATTCTGTCAAAAGAATTATTATTCTTTTAAAATAAATATGAAATTATGCTAATTTTTAGGTGTTTGCTATACTAGATAACTTTAAAAAAAATATTGAAGTTGAAGAAAGGGAATCTGCACCACACCAGATTGTCGCAGCTGGGGTTCGCTGGAGCAGGCACCTAGAGCACGTCATCCGGGAGTTCATGACCGAGCCCTACGTGGTCGTCACCGCCATGGAGGAGGCCGCGCTCTGTGGCAGCGTCCAGCAGGTAGTGAGTCGTGGGTGTGGCGGGGGCTCCTCAACACCAGCTGGTAACTTTTGTTTCATAGATTAATATTAATATTAAGAGATTATAGCTTTAATTTTGTACACAAATCTGTAATTGTGAATTTAAATTTATATTGACTTTCTATACATTCAATTCTATTCAAAGCATATCTATGAAAAGTAAAACTGGAGCACCTTGAACATTTAAAAAATTACATTGTTTCTATATTTCATTGCTAGGTTGTACATCTTTGCCTAGAAAGTGAAAAGACCTCTACTTTACTCCAAACTCTTGATTTCATCCCCAGTCAGGCACAGAAAACCTTGATCTTTACCTGTTCTGTAGCTGAAACTGAAACAGTGTGTAAGGTGAGCCCTCCACGCATAAAATGTTCTTACTGTTTAAACTATGATTGAATTTGCTGAGGTAGTTAAAGGTTTGACGGGAACAAAATTTTACAAGTTCAGTATCAGTCGGAATGGGCTCTGCTGCAAAGCAGTGGTAGCTGTGAAGAAGAGGAGCAGGAGGCCTGACACTGAGGGGAGGGGCCAAGTAGGTGGAGCAGCTTTTCCACTGAAACAAATGCACCTTGCAGGGGTGGGGCTGGGCTTCGAGTTTTTGTCTTGTTAGAACAGTGAAAGGATCCTATTCGTGAAGAAATGCCAACATCTTCTGTACCATTTATTTAAGAAAATACAGAAGGTTAACAATAAATACATCATCATGTAGCCAGAAAAGCCAAATAAATTGGCTAGAGACTTATTTAGTCTAATTGTGTATCAATTAACAGTAAAGTGTAGAAATGAGGCCAAATACAAAATACAATAACAAAATCAGTAGTACCTCCACATTTCAGTAATGGTGAACTAGCAGGTGTAGCTGAAAAGACAACAGTGCCATAGTTGGATGTATGCGCACACAATTAGCCTCAAACAGCACAGTGGTGAGCCATGCAGGGCCACTTATACATGGGTTTTCCCAGTGATGGCATTCAGTGCTGTGAATGCATTTTCCTTATGACTTCAACATTTTCCTCTGGCTTTATTGTTACAATATAGTATTCATTACATATAACATACAAAGTATGTGTTAATTGACTGTGTATGTTACCAGTAAGGCTTCTGGTCAACAGTAGGCTATTAGTCATTACGTTTTGGGGGAATCAAAAGTTATAGGTAGACTTTTGACTGCATGAAGTGTCAGCACCCCTGACTCATGTATTGTTCAGGGGTCCATTATACACACAAACATCTGTACGTGTGTGTACACACAGTGTGCACATGTGCCTGTGTACACATGTGCACGTATACACACTGCATGTATACACACATTGTGTGTGCACAAGTGCAAGCGTATGCACATGCATGTGTACACACCGTGTGTGTGTATACAGTGTGCTTGTGTACACATGTGCAAGTAGATGCACATGTACACATGTGCATGTGTACACAGTGTGCGTGTGTACATTATTTGGAAAGGAAGGAAAATAGTTTTAGCAAAATATGTTGGTTTCACTTGAGCAAGTTTTTAGATATAAACTATGGAATTTTGGAAACATATTTATTTAAATGAACAATCATAAGAATTATTTGACCAGTGAGATAATACCCTCACAGATAGTTTTAAATGGTTTATCTTGATTATTCATAGAATAGTTAACTTCAAGCTTACATTCTTGACTGTGACCTGGCCTTTTGGTTTCATCTTTAGGTAGTAGAAAGCTGTTCAGTATTTTGCTTGAAAATGCATAAAGAAATGGTTTTTGATTTAAAAAGTGTATTAGAACAGTGGAACAAGAAGTTAAGTTCTGGCTCTCACATTGTATTAGGTAAGTGTTTTAATTTCTACTTTTATCTACAGAAGGCTGAGCATTTAGGAATCATGTCTTTCAGTTCATTTGTAGATCTCATCTCCAAATTCCCTACCATTTCCCAGATTTACTGAGAATTTATTAGTCATCTTAATTTCAAAATGAAACTTCACCTCTATAAAAATGTCACTGTTGAAGTGGGTCGAGGTGTTTCCAGGGCCCCTGGCTATCAGGCGGACACCTTTAGTCCGAACGTCTCCCCGCAGTTCCAGCGAAGGGGTGCTGTCTCATCCCTGTGCACACGTGTGCCTGTCATAAGTGATTGATAAATTCAGCATTAGACATTTAGAAGTAAGAATGTATAAAGTGTAAAATAGGCATGGGCAGCCTAGATTTGTAATAAAAAGAGGCAGTTTTTTAAGCTAAAAGAAGACTACTTTTCCCTGGAATTTAATCACTGGAATTTTTTTCTCATTTGAAAAAAAATGAGAAAGAGGTTTCTTTGCATCTAAAACGTAAACTGCAATAAAGAAATGTGTGGAGTACGGTGGCTGAGATTGCTCAGTAGGGGCGGTGCCATAAAGCCCGGGCCTCGCCTGACACTGTCGGGTTCCTTCTCTCTAGCCCTGACCGATGACTGCACACCCTTCTTGGCCATCACCGACGCCACGTGTGTCATTCACTTCAGCTTCCCTGCTTCGCCCAAAATTTTTGGTGAACGTCTATATTGCATGTCTGATCATTTTCAGAGTTTAACTGAACAGGTTTGATTAACTTTTATGATATTTAAATATTCCATTGTGTGATAAAAAATTCAGAGTCTGCAAGTTTTGTCCTTGAGTCTGTCAGGTATGGATGACCCACTTCCTTTATTCACCCCTGTTCTAAGGGTTCTCCTGCAAAACCGGGAGATACGAAAACGAGGTCTGTCTTGCTGCTGACGGAGAGGAGTGCCGGCCATGCCGTTGGTGTTCTGCGCTACTTGGAAAGAGCGGATGCCAAGATCCCGTCGGAGCTGTATCAGTTTACTGCAGGGGTTCTAGAAGCTAAGGAAGAGAAAAAAGCCAGAAGGCCTCTTTGTCCATATCTTAAGGCTTTTGGATTTTGCAAGTAAGCCAGTCATCTCCTTTTGTCATTGAGATACACAGTAAAGTGCACAGATGATCAGTTCACAGCTTGCTGAATTATTATATATGTATGCGTCCGTGCAAACCAGCACCCAGCTCTGAAGAACATACGTATGTCACAGTGTACATGTCCATTCTCCTCCTGACGGATCTGTGGGCTGTTTGCAGCTGGGTTGGGCTCCTCTGTGGGAAGCTACTATGAACATTCTTATACCTAAGTTTGTGTGGAAAAATGGACCCATTCCTCTTGGGTGTATATTTTGGAGTGGAATTGCTGGGTCATGGGATAAACATATGTTTAACTTTGTCAAAGTGGTTGACCATTTTATGATTTAATCAGTAATGTGTGAGAAAGTTTGAGTTGCTTCATATCCTCACCAGCACTTAGTATCCGGGGTATAGTGGAAGACCATTGTGATTTTCATTGTGTTCCCCTAATGGTTAATGGTGTTGAATGTCTTTTCATATGCTTGTGGGACATGAGTCCATCCTCTTTTTGTGATGTGCCTGCCTGTTCACGTCTTTTGCCCACTTTTTAAATGGAGTGTTTATCTTTTTCTTACTGCTTGGGTTGTGGGGTTAATTCATTCTGGATATAAGTGCTTGGTCAGATACACACTTTGAGAATATCCTCTCCCAGTCTGTGGCATGTGTTTTCACTCTTTGAATAGTCTTTTGATGAACAGACCGTCTAAATTGTGACACAGTACTTTATGGCTGCTGTTTGTTGTATCCTTTAAGAAATATTTGTCTGGCCCTGGCTGGCGTAGCTCAGTGGATTGAGCACGGGCTGCGAACCAAAGCATTGCAGGTTCCATTCCCAGTCAGGGCACATGCCTGGGTTGCAGGCCATGGCCCCCAGCAACCGCACATTGATGTTTCCCTCTCTTTCTCCCTCCCTTCCCTCTCTAAAAATAAATAAATTTTAAAAATCTTTAAAAAAAATATTTGTCTGTCTCTAGGCTGTGAAGGTAGTTTTCTGTATTTTCCTCTGGAAACATTACAGTTTTGGCCTTCACAATTCGGTGTGTAGTCCACACTGCATCGCGTGCTGTGCATAGTGTGAGATGCGGGGCACGGTTTCCTTTTCCAAAGGGACCACTACTTGCTCCAGCCCCATTCATTTAATTCATCATTGTGTTCTCCCTGAGCGGGTGCCTTTAATTTAAACCAGATGATGGTGTATGTGGCCCGTTAGTGGACTCTTGCTGTCACATCGGTCTCTTTGTCCTTACACCAGTTCACTTTTTTCTCAAGTACTGTAGCATATATTCTAATGAATCATGGAATTTGGTATGTAAGTCCTCCAACTTTGTTCTTCTTCCTGGTTGTTTTTGGCTATTATAAGTCTGTTGCATCTCCATATACATTTTAGAACAGGTTTGTCGAGTCGTTGGAAAACCCTGATGGAGTTTTGGTAGCCGCTGCACTGATGCTGTGCATGAGTTTGGAGAACATGGGCGTCCTGACAGCCATAGGGCCTCTCTCGCTGGTCCAGGCACAGCGCTGTTGCTTGATGAATCGAGGGCTGGGGCTAGGTAGCAGGTGTCTGCTGTGTATCTGTTAAGCTGAATTTAATGTTAAGATAATTGTTAACATTTACTTTTTAAGTTTGTTACATTAAACAGCTTATTGTCAGCAGTTCCCATTATGCCTTTAAATAGAATGTTGACTTTTGAAACTGAAACTTCAGCTATTTCTAAGTTTTGGTTAAGAAATGGCTTCTGGTTTGTTGTGGATTACGGTGATGTTTTTCTGATTCAGAGTCTTTATTTTGGAAGTCCATTTTGTTCATTTATGTGTTGCATTTAAGAATTTCTAAAGAAATAATAAAGTAACTCTGTCCTTAATTCAGCATTAATTAAATTTTAGGATCCTTTTCTACTTCTGTTAGTGTCATCTGAAGTATTAAATATGATTACTTAACTTTTAAAGTGTTTCAAGTAAAAGTTCTCTGATTTCAATTAGAGATTTTTTTCAGATTTTGAAATCCAGTTACTTTTTTTCAGACACAAAAGGATTTGTCCTGAGAGACACCATGTTAATCCAGAAATAGACATGCCAAGGAAATTATCCGACCAGGCGATACCGACGTTTGGATACATTAAAGTAAGTTCTCTTAAAGATCCTTTTGTTGAATGATGAATGGTCATTTTAATGAACATATTTTTTAAGCAGCAGAATCTTAGTAGACTATGATTATGACTCCCAGGGGTCATCTTTAATATGCCACCATTAATCCAGTAATAGGCATGGTCCTTCAAAGGCCCCCAGTTTATTTAGAAAACCAAGATAAAATTGGGAAAGTGGATGAACCCCTTTAACAATCGGGGGATTTTTTGTTGTATTTTCAGAAAGAACATTGGTTTTGGGGGGAGGAATTTTAGAAATAATGCAGTAACTACATGAATCTTCAGAAAAAAATCTGAGATGCACATGGAATTGCTGAGTTAAGAGTTTGTCACTTTATTTTGAATCATTTTTGTTACTTCCTTCCTTTTTGAGTTTGTTTTCATTTTCACCTTCCCATTCCCTGTGGCCTCCTTATTGTGCTGTGCTCACTCTCTGGGGCGCTGTGACAGATACTGCAAATTGGGTGACTCCAAGCAAGGAGTCGATCCTCTCACCGCTCTGGCAGCCGGAAGCCAGAATGCAGGTGTCTGCGGGCGGGCAGCACTGCATCCAGGGGCTGGGGAGAATGGTTTTTCCCATCTCCTCCAGCGTCCCTTGGCTCCACGTGTTAGCTTGCAGCCCCCAGTGTCTGTCCTCATTTTTGCGTCAGTTCTTCTCTTCTCTCTGTCTCTTAAAAGGGACACATTTTTTTATCTGGGTGGATATAGGGCCTACCCAGATAAGTCAGAATCATCTCCTCATCTGGAGATACTGAATTCCACCTGCAAAGAACTCTTTATTTTTTTAAACACTTTTTTTTAAGATTTTGTATTTATTTATTTTTAGAGAGGGAAGAGAGGGAGAAAGAGAGAGAGAGAGAAACATCAATGTGCGGTTGCTGGGGGTTGTGGCCTGCAACCCAGGCATGTGCCCTGACTGGGAATCGAACTTGCGACACTTTGGTTCGCAGCCCGAGCTCAATCCACTGAGCTACACCAGCCAGGGCGCAAAGAACTCTTTCTAAATAAGGTTGCAGGCACAGGTTCTCTGGGAGTTTGTACAAGGGCATAACTTTTTAGAGGGCCACCACTCAACCCACTACAGTTTTCATTACAGAAATGATGGTTTTCTTTAATTTCTAATCCTTTCCTGAGTAGTGCCTCCTCATTTGTAAGCGCTCTAATTCTGACTCATGTTGTTCTTTTATAGCACATTATTGTTTTGACAAGCTAGAAGCCCAGTTTGAAATTGAAGGTTCAATTTGATCTGTTTTGTGGATGCATCTTTCTAATGGCTTTTATTGCCTGTAGAGGCTGTTGTTCTGTTCCTGATTCCCTTTTTTATTATTCTAACTTAATATGGGATTTGACCCTGATAACTTGCTATTGATCATTTTTATTTTTTTTTTAAGATTTTATTTCTTTATTTTTAGACAGAAGGAAAGGATGGGAGAAAGACAGGGAGAGAAACATCAATGTGTGGTTCCCTCTTTCGAGCCCCCTACTGGAGACCTGGCCCACAACCCAGGCATGTGTGCTGACTGGGAATCGAACCAGAGACACTTTGGTTCACAGGCTGGTGCTCAATGTACTGAGCCACACCAGCCAGGGCCTGCTATTGATCATTTTTAGATAAAATTTATTTTCCTTAAATTTTAGAAGGAAGTTTGCGGATTAGGATAACTTTTCTAATTCCTCAGAGTTCCAGTTTCTGTTGTTTCTGTGTCTTACTAAAAAAAAAAAAAAAGATGGAAACCTAGTCTCTGAGCGTCGTGAGTTTTCATGGCTCTGTTCTCCTCTTCCACTTTTCTCTTTGTTCATCTCTTTGTCCCCGGATAAACAGTTTTGAGATTTCACATCAACCTTTAGCCACCAGCAGAGTGGATGAAACCGTCCCACCATCTGGTGCCCCTGCCTCACTGGCCCACGTGTCTTCAGTGAATACCTGTTGCGTCCTGGGCACTTCAGTCCTTGGGTCTGTAGGACTCACTCTTTTCCTCCCTCTGCTTCTTCCCGCACAGATAGTGACACTGTCAGGTCTTGTGAATGGTCTTTCCTCGTCTGCTCTTATGTACTTGTTCAAATTAATAGATTTTATGTTTTAGAACAGTTTAAGGCTTATAGAAAAATTGAGCAGAAAATACAGAGAGTTCCTCTATATTCCTCCCCACCTCCCAGTTCCCCTATTCATCTTGCCAGTTTCTACTTAGACACCTGCTGGGATTGTGACTGGCATTGCATTGAGTCTGTGGATTAATACGGGAGGCATGGACATCTAAACAATACTGAGTCTTCTAGTCCATTATCATGGAATATTCCATTTGTCTAGGTCATTTTTAATTTCTCAGCAATGTGTTACAGTTTTCGGTAGACAGATCTTGTACTTACTGTGTTAAATTTATCCTTAATATTTCATGTTCTTGGATGCTGTTGTCAGTGAATTTTCTTAAACTTCATTTCCCAGTTGTTTTAAAATGCAGTTAATTTTTGTATCCTTGCCTTGTGTCCAGTGACCATAACAGATGGAATTAGTTGTGTGCATGGGTCCTGGGGAGAGTAGACTCAAAATAGGTAGGGGGTCGGGTGGCGAGAAGGGATCCTCCCAGTGTGCCCAGGACTGAGGGCTTTTCTGGCATGTGGGACTTTAAGTGCTGAAAACCAGGACGGAATGAGATAAACCAGGACAAACTGATCACCCTCCCCTGTCTGGAGGCCTCAGGCTTTCCTGTCTCGAGACCACAGCCCATAAGCTGCTTTTCGCTGCCTCCATTCTACCAACTGAATGTGTTTTTAGATGTGCTGGTGACATGCAGAGGGGGCGGCCCAGACTGACACCAGCTCAGCCCTGGGCCCTGTTTCCCTGTGTGTGCTGAGGCCTCTTTCTTTAACATAGAGCCTTCGTGTTTGGGAACTACAGGGCGAAAGAAACGTCCCCTTTATTCCTCCTGTCATCCTAAAACAATCACTATTAGCATTTTAGTATATTTACTCTGTCATTTTTCTTTGTGTATCTTTAAAAACTTTTTGTTATTGGTGTGTGTTACTGTGTCCTGTTCTTTCTCATAACATTGTTGTGAGAGTTTTTCTCATCCTCCGAACTACCACACGATCACTGATCACCATCAGCAAGTGGGCTCACGAATGGAATGCTGGGCTGTTGGGGCCTCTGAACCACAGGGCAGAAGACTCCTGGGGCAGGCTCAGCTGCCAGGCAGGAGGGAATACTGAACTGCTGCCAGAGGCAGAGATGGGCTTGAATAAACACTGAACTGAGGGTTTATTTTTTATTTATATTTTTAAATTGAAAATTATTTTATTTTTTAATCCTCACTTGAAGATATGTTTATTGATTTATGGAGAGAGAGGAATGGGGAGGATTAGTGAGGGTGGGTAGAGAAAGAGAGAAAAACATCGATCAGTTGTCTCCCGTACACACTCTGACTGGGGATCGAACCCACAACCTCTCTCTGTGCCCCGACCAGGAATTGAACCCACAGCCATTTGGTCTGTGGGCTGATACTCCAACCAACTGAGCCACCCGGCCAGGGCACACTGAGGGTTTGTTTAGGCAGCTTCTCCGTGGTGCTGGAGAATGCCCGGCTCAGGAACCATGACTGACATGTTACCTGCCCCTTGCTGCTGACGTTCCAGTGGGGGTGGTCGGCAGCAGGCAGGGTAGTAAGGAGGATGTGCTAGGAAGAGGATGAAAGGCAATGAAATACTGGGGGGAAGCCAAGGGGACAAAGGGCCCTTTGCAAATTTTTAGGCAGGAAGGGACTCTCTGAGGAGGGGTCATCTGCACTGAGGGCCAGATAAGAAGGATCCAGCCATGGGAAGATTTGGGGAAGAGTATTCCAGGAGCAGGAACCGGCAAGAACAAGGGCCCTGAGGTGTAGCAGTTAATGTGGAGTGTTTGTGGAACAGCACAAGGCTCATTGGCTGTGAGAGTGGGGGAGGGGCAGGCAGTGAAGTTGGAGGGGGCCCACAGAGGAGGGCCACCACTGTCAGCTTGGTGAGATCTGACACTGCCTTTGCTCACACAGGGTGACCTTGCTCCTGTCTTGCCTGCCTGCCTCCCAGTCAGCACCACCTTCTCCACCATCCCACCAAATAACCCGTTCTCACTTCTGCCTTCTGCTCTGGGCAGCCAGGGCTCCTGCCCTAACATCCACCGTGTGCTCCCTCCACCTGGAATGCCTGCCCCACGCACTTACTAACACAGACGCAGACAGCACTCCCCTCAGGCACCAGCAACCTGGCATACACCTGCCTGTGAAGGGTGTCCTCTTGAGCACGCTCTAGCAGCGCCGCTGGATCTGCCGGTTTGTGGGCTGCTGGAAGCCCTGCGGTGCCTCGTGCACAGCAGCTCTTGCCAGACACCCATTGTCACACCAGTGGAATGAGAAGGGGCGCGGTTTTAAGAAGATTTTTATGAAGTGCAGCTTTAAAAAGTAAACAAAGGAACACTTCCAACAAATAATGCAGTTTTAAAATAATAATGTTTATCCAGAAAAACTTCTGTTAAAACTCTCATTTTTGTGAATATGGTAACATTTTTATTTCATTTGTTTTTTGGCCAGCTTCTTAACTTTATTTTTAAACCCCATTCACGTGCTTTTGGGCTCTTAGGTCAGGTGCTGGTTTTCACAGACAGGTCTTGGGTTTAGTGTGATGTTATTTTCTGGATATGTTTATATGTTTCAGATAATACCCTTTTACATTGTGAATGCAACACATTACTTTGGCCGTATAGTTGATAAACATGTGGATCTTTATGCAACTCTTAACGCTGAAATGAAGGAGTATTTTGAAGATACCAGTAATAAAACAACTGTTGAACAGGTGGAGAAATTTGGACTATATGGATTAGCAGAAGAAACAGTTTTTTACAGGTAGAATGTCTGTTATTTCATCTTGACAAGCTGGGGAGCATGAGGTAACTTTTACTGCCATTGAACCCCCACGTTCACCTCTGTCCATGGAGCCCACTGTTCCCATGCTCGGCCTGCTGCCTCCCAGGAGGGTGGTGGCAGGGTCATGGCCCCAGACCCTGCACACTGGCCCACACCTGGGACTCATCTGACCCCAGGCCCCCAAGCACAGAGCATGGGTGACATGTAGCGTTTACATACTAGCAGTTACAAAGCCATCACTATGCGCTGCGCACACATGCATCTTTAACTCAGTTCTCACAAATGACGTCGAATCATTCCCATTTTACACATAAGCAAACCGAGCCTTGTCTTGGGTTTAGTGTGATGTTATTTTCTGGATATGTTTATATGTTTCAGATAATACCCTTTTACATTGTGTGAGGTGTCTGAGGTCAGCTCAGTGCATGCCCAGTGTTCCCCCCGGGCGGTCTGACTCACATGCCTTTGGCACCGCACCTCCGCAGTGCCACACCCACCTGCACTTGGTGGTAGGCTAGATTGAGAACCTTGAAGATTTTAATTTGCTACATTAATTTTTAAGGTGTTGTCAAATAATTTACTCTATTTATACTTAGATGTACTTTAAATAAGCTATTGCTAAGTAAGCTCTTGACAGCCCCAGTTCTTTTATTTCTAGCATGGAGTACAACTATGCAGTCCTATTAAATATTTAGCATTTAATGGATAAATTGAGGCAAAGGTTATTTCCATTTTAGAGTCTGTGTGTTAAACTGATGCCCCTGTTGTTCTCCAGAGTTCAAGTGCTGGAGATGGGCCAGGAGGAAGACCAGTGGGCCCTGGATAAAGTCCTGGTGAAGTTTATAGATGAAGGCAGGACTGGGCTCGTCCCAAGAGATCAGCTGCTGCGTCTCCCAGAAAGTTTCCGCCCCCTGCCCCCCCAGGCAGTGGAGTTCATTGTTTGCAGAGTGAAACCTGCTGACGGTGAAATTGAATGGAATCCTAAGGTGAGTTATTTTGGCTTTTTTTAGTTTGTTGACTTTAGAATACATTTAACCCAGAATGTACACAGAATTGTGGTTTATCTGAATTTAGAGTGCTGAGTTTGGGTAAAATGCTTCAGGCCCCTAAGCAGTGGGAGCACCATCCACACGGATCCCTGCAGGGGTAGACCCGCACTCACGGCCGCCCCGAGTAGCCCTGGCCGCGCACCAGGCACCCCTGTCTGCCAGGCACCAGTTGCCATCTTATCACCAGCACTTACAGACTTAGCGCTGGTGTAAAATATGTGTTGTGATAAAATGAATTGGCTGTCAGCTCAAGGTGAAGAAACAGTATAAGCACCTACAAAATGGGTACCCCTGCCAAAGGGGGTCATGGGTGATGGCCACTTTCTGGAGAGGCCAAGGTAAGTCCACTGGGGTTGGGAGGATGGATAAGGACAGAGTCCAAAAAGCTCCCAAAGGAAGGGACGTTTCCTCGGGGCCCTTTGGGATGGGTAACCAGGATGTCACCACATAGACCAGCTGAGGCACTTAGAGCAAAGAAAACAACGTGGGCCACGGCAAGGAGCACAGAAGAGTGGCCGGCGTGGGCTCACAAGGCTGTCCACGGTGGGCTGAGAGGCGCCCGCCACCCAAGTGGAGGCTCGACAGGCAGCCTCAGCGCCAGGGCAGTGAGTCCTGATTCTCAAGGGAAGGTTACGTTTTGTATAATCTGATGAGTAGGATATGAAATAAGCTATTGTGGTTGGCAAAGTAAAAACAGTTTGGGTCATGCACAAGGTTGCACATTATGCAGGAAATACATAGGTGACTGCCCCCACAGCAAAGGGTGAACATGGAGCCATCCTGCAGAGAGTGTAGTAAAAATAGCCTTTATTAAATAGCAATCTTGTTTCTTCATGGAGAGTACTTCCTGAGGTTCCTGTGTGCTGGCGTCACATGTGTTCTGGGGATGCGGCCATTAGCAAGAAAGTCGTGGTCCCCACCCTCAGGAAACATTTGGTCTGTCAGGACGGTCAACCACAAGTAGAAGAGGAGCCTTCCATAGAAATGGGGGGAGTTCTGCATGTGTTCTTTCAGATTAATTCACAGAGTTCAAGGGAGATGGAAGTAATCCCATCACGATGAGCCAGCTCCCTCCCGTCCCGCTTGACTGGAGTTGAGATGTGCCCAAAAGAGAGCACTCAGGCAGGGCTCCCCTGTGGCGGCCATGCTGGGAGGACAGCCCTGTGCTCAGGAAGGGCACTGGAAATGGCACCAAGGCCCCTCGTTCCCAGGTCCCTGGTGCAGAGCAGCTCCATCGCTGTGCCTTCTTCCCCTGGTGCAGCACTTGGACTTCACTCCCACTGAGCTTCCCAGGAAAAGACATCCACACCTTACAGGGAGGTGGACAGTTACCGCAGGAGGTGGGGACACCTGTCCAGGGTGGGAAGCACGCAGAATTAGGAGTCCACAGGTGTGGACCTGTTCTGGAACTCAGCTTTTGCATCTGTCCCCGTCAGACTCTACTGTTGGTTACCCTTGTCGACAAAAGGGGCCATGGCCTGAAAACCTGCCTCCTGGGGTGGGAGAGGCTCTGCTGAAATACATGGGAGAGTTTTTTGCAAAACTGTGTAGCATGTGCAGAATAAGGTGTTAACACTAAAGCTTCTGATCAGTTAGTTACTTTGGTGTGTTTTTTCAGGTTACTAGGTACATTCATCACAAAATTATTGGAAAATTGCATGATGCAAAAGTGATACTGGCTTTAGGAAATACAGTTTGGATTGATCCAATGGTAAGTATATAGTTTTCTTAAAAACAAATTTGTGTTTGGGCCTCTGGAGTAATCCAAACTGTTTTAACCTGTTGCTTGAATAACTTCTGCCTCACATAAACGGAGGCTTATTTGGGGGGAATCTTTTACACTGTAACCCAGCGCTAACAGGCGTGTGTGTGCACTCGCACACTCACTCACACAGCCAAAGACAGGCACTCCATGGCACTGTCCTCACTGCGTGCGGCAGTCTCTGATGTTTACAACTCTGCTCTCTTTCACTTTCCAAGTGTTGGCTGTGCACCATTCGGTGGGTTTCGTAGTTTTCTGTCCACACAGGTGGGGAGGCCTGGGCTTGGGGACGGCCCTGCAGCAGCACAGCCGTCCATCTGCCTGGTGTTATAAATGAGCTTCACATCCCAGCACACGGTTGGTGATGCTGGGAGTTCCAGTCCCTGGCCTTTCAAAAGTAGGTTTTATTGGCCCTGACCAGTGTGGTTCAGTTGGGGCACTGTTCCGTAACCAAAAGGTGGGTTTGATTCCCTTTTGGGGCATGTACCTAGGTGCAGGTTTGATCACCGGTCTGGTGTGTACAGTCCCTAGCCCAGATGTGTATGGTCCCTGGTCTAGGCACCTGGGGGAGGCAACCAGTCCCTGCTTCTTTCTTTTTATTTACTTTTATTTTACTGATTATGCTATTACAGTTGTCTCATTTCCCCCCTTTCATTCCCCTCCACCCTGCACACCCCCTCCCACCCACATTGCCCCCCTTTAGTTCATGTCCATGTGTCATACTTATTTTAGCTTCTACATTTCCCATACTATTCTTGCCTTCCCCCTATCTATTTTCTACCTACCATCTATGCTACTTATTCTCTGTACCTTTTCCCCCTCTCTCCTCCTCCCACCCCCTGTTGCTAACCCTCCATGTGATCTCCATTTCTGTGGTTCCGTTCCTATTCCAGTTGTTTGCTTAGTTTGTTTGTGTTTTTGTTTTAGTTGTGGTTGTTCATAATTGTGAGTTTGCTGTCATTTTACTATACGTGTTTTTTTTATCTTCTTTTTCTTAGATAAGTCTCTTTAACATTTTATATAATAAGGGCTTGGTGATGATGTACTACTTTAACTTGACCTTATCTGGGAAGCACTTTATCTGCCCTTCCATTCTAAATGACAGCTTTGCTGGAGAGAGTAATCTGGGATATAGGTCCTTGCCTTTCATGACTTGGAATACTTCTTTCCAGCTCCTTATTGCCTGCAAGGTTTCTTTTGAGAAATCAGCTGATAGTCTTCTGGGAATTCCTTTGTAGGTAATGCTCTCCTTTCCTCTTGCTGCTTTTAAGATTCTCTCCTTATCTTTCATCTTGGCCAATGTAATTATGATGTGCCTGGGTGTGTTCCTCCTTGGGTCCAACTTCTTTGGGACTCTCTGAGCTTCCTGGACTTCCTGGAAGTCTATTTCCTTTGCCAGATTGGGGAAGTTCTCCTTTATTTGTTCAAATAAGTTTTCCACTAGTTGTTCTTCCTCTTCTCCTTCTGGCACCCTTATAATTCTTATGTTGGAACATTTAAAGATGCCCTGGAGGTTCCTAAGCCTCTTCTCATTTTTTTTTTTTTGGATTCTTGTTTCTTCATTCTGTTCTTTTTGGTTGTTTCTTTCTTCCTTCTGGTCCACTCCATTGATTTGAGCCCCAGTTTCCTTCCCATCACTATTGGTTCCCTATGCGTTTTCCTTCATTTCACTTAGCATTGCCTTCACTTTTTCATCTAATTTGCGACCAAAGCAACCAATTCTGTGAGCATCCTAATCACCAGTGCTTTGAACTGTGCATCTGATAGGTTGGCTATCTCTTCGTTGCTTAAAAGTATTTGCTGTGGAGCTTTGATCTGTTCTTCTGTTTGGGCCATTTTTTATTTTGTCTTGTTGTGCCTGTTATGTCTGAGGGGCAGAGCCTTAGGTGTTCTCCAGGGTGGGTCATCCCTGTTGCTGTGTTGTGATGCTGTATGTGGAGGAGGGGTCCAAGAGGGAACAATGGCACTTACTCCTCTCTCTCTCAGATTTCAGTCCCTTCCGCTGCTTCCCCCGAGCTAACTGGGCCTTTCTGGTGCTGATTCCCATGTGGGTGGGCTTGTGTACGTTCCTGGGACCCTGTGGGTCTCTCCAACGACCTCTCCTGTGAGGCTGGGAGTCTCTCCCTGCCTCAACCCCCACAGGTGTTTTCAGTTGGTGTTTTTAGGCTTTATTTCCTGGAGCCGGGGCCCTGGACCGTGCAGTCTCTCTTGTTCCCCAGTTTCACCTTGTTTGTCTACACGAGAATGTGGGACCACTCGGTCAGCCAGAGGCCCTGCACGCTTCCCTGGGTCTGCCCGCTGCCACCCCACAGCCAGGGTCCTTCAGCTGCTGCCTTGCGCGCTGGGGTCTGCAAGCCTTTGCTGCAACCGGACTCTGCCTGGCTGCCCAACTCCACCCCTCCTGCCAGACTGGATGAATGTGTCTAACTACTTAGTTGTCAGACTTCTGTACAGTTCAATTTCCTGTCAGTTCTGGTTGGTTTTTTTGTTTCTAAATTTTTGTTGTCCTTAATTTGGTTGTGCAAGGAGACACAGTGTGTGTACCTCCGCCTCCATCTTGGCTGGAAGTCCTTGCTTCTTTCTTGCATCGATGTTTCTCTCTCTCCCTTCCTCTCTAACGCAATAAAAAAAAAAAACCCATGTTCTCAGGTGAGGTTAAAAAAGTTTTGTTATGTTCACAGTTTCTATTTCATTCAGTCATCAAAAGTTGAGTCCCTACTGTGTGCTAGGTAGGACCTATATGGGCACTTGGGTTCCATTTGTGAACATGGACTCCTATCCTGTGGAGCTGACATGGGGCTGTGAAACCAGGATGTGAAAATAAGGGGTCTCCATGCACCCCTCTATGCCGGCACCATCTCCCCTCTTCCTGGGCCACAGGACTCTACTTTTCAATTATGATTATTGGCAAGATTGAGAGGACTTCAGTTCTTAAAACTTTCTGCTAGAGATTATTTTTGTAAGATTGGAAACGTCCTAAAGCTTTAAAAGGAGTTTGAGATGGATGTGAGATTTAAGAGTAAGAGGAAAAATGATTTTCAGAAGAGAAGGTAGAGATTACTAGTTGGTGCTGTGATAGTCAATATTGTGGTTCCACTTTATTGGAGAAAATGGAAACTTATAAATTAAGAGAATGAAGCAAAAAGAAAAGAAGAAGACCTACCCTCTGGCAAATATGCTTCCACAGCTGCAGAGTGGCAGCGTCCCCCACCCAGACCAGCTGGGTGCCCAGTGTGAGTGGAGGAAGACCCTCCCAGGTGGGAGCACCTTCCCAGGGTTCTCCTCAGATAGTGCCCAGCCCACCCTCCCCATGCCACGGAAGGGGTGCCCAGTCTGGGTGCACATCTCCCACCAACAGGAATCAGACTGTTGCAGATTTCGTGTTTTACTTAATTTTGTGTAAATAGAAGTGGTGAGACTGTTTCGGTTGCAGAAAAGGCAAGTGGAGGAAACTCTCCAGAACACAGGATTTAGGGCTTTGGCGGAGAGCCTTTCCGGGCACCCAGAGACTCCAAGCACTCGGGTCTTCCTTGCTGAGAGACATGAAAGTATTGGAGCAAACACCAGAAAAATCTAAGACTCGTGTGTGGTTACTGCATTACAGACTGGTCTTGTCTGGGGACTCTGTTCCAGGGTTTGCCCTTGGCCCCAAGCCTGACCTCACCATATTGCTGCAGGTGGGCCCAGGCTCTGGAAGATTCTAACAGAACCTTGGTCAGCAAGTGGACCAGATGTGAGTGGGAGGCCTGGGTACACTGGCACATGCCCACCGGCATTGAGCACGATAGAGCTGGGCCGAGGGGCCATGTGGGCGTCCTTGGGGTTCATTTAAAGTTCGAAATGTCATTCCTGCAAATGTGTTTTTTCTTTGATTTAAGGTGCACATCACAAAACTTTTAAATTTGAAAACTTCTGTCATTGATTACAATGTTCGAGCAGAAATTTTGTCAATGGGAATGGGCATTGATAATTCAGAACACATAGAACAACTGAAAAAATTATACAAAGGAGCTAAAATGCCACCTGTCGAAAAAAGCCTAAGCCAGACCCTGTAAGTAGATTTTTGTTTCTGTTTTGGAACAGCTGTTCTGTGGAAATACATCTCAAAGTATTAAAGAGATTTTTTTTAAAGTAAATCATTTAACGAGTGTCCATATTCCCATCACCCAGCTCCAGTCATTACCAGGATTTTGGGAATCTTGTTTCATCCAGACTTCAGCCTCCACCTGTGTCTGTCTTACAGAATGAATTCTGTTAGCTTTCTGTTGGCAGCTAGCACACATACAGAAAAGTACACCCATTGTAAGTGTAGTTTAGTGGGTTTTCTGAGCCCAGAAACAGGACATGACGCAGGGCCAGCTTGTCCCTTCCCGGGGGCAGTGCTCTCCTGACACAGATGGCTCTTCCCTGACTTGTCCTCTGAATGAAATCATGCAACATGCCTCTTCTGTAGCTGGCTTCTGTAGCTCAGCATCATCTGTGAAACCCATCTGTATTGTGCATGTAGCTGTAGATCATAAATTCTTACCACTGCACTATGTTCCATTGTATGAACACGCCCTAATTTATCCACTCGTTCTGCTGCTGAAGGGAGGAGTTCCCAGTGGTCCGGGGGTATACCTGGTGGTCCTTTAACCAGTCCCCTGCATGTGTTTTGGTGCATGTACGAATGAATTTGTGATGGAATAGAACTGCTGAGTCATCATTAGAGCCACTGCCCACCAGTTTTCCAGATTGGTTGCACCAGTTTCCTCTTCCACCAGCAGTATAGAGACCATGAAGTTTACTCTGAGAAAGGTCCTGTCAGGTGCAGAGCGGAGAGGAGAACAGTCCTGGTGTCAGGTGCAGAGCGGCGAGCAGTCCTGGGGTTGGATCTTGTTGGTCCCTGTGATCTTGCAGGGATTGGGCTCCCACTCTGAGGAAGTGGAACCATGAAAGGATTTCGAACAGAGAAATAATCAAAAGATTCTTGGCTTCTGTGTTGAGAATAGACTGGAGTCAGGGACAAAGGCTGTGCCGAGTTGCAGGTAGGATGACAGTGGCCCAGACTTGGGTGGCTTTGTGGAGGTGGTGAGAAGTAGCTGGTGGTGAGTAGTGAGTGCATGGTCCCATGGAGTCTTGTCAGTGGTTCCTAGGTATGGAGAGCTAAATGCTGGACGAGGGCCCTGAAGGAGTGAGTATAAAGGTCCCAGGACTAAGCATTGGGCCTCTGGTGTTGGGAGGTGAGGCAGCTGTCAGGACACAGACAGGAGCCTAGGAAGAGAGCAGCCCTTGGCAGAGAAGGAAGCCTGGGAGAGAGGTGTCCAGGGTGGCCAGAGGGTATGCAAGAGGGCAAGCCAGGGGCTCTACAGAGCTGCCAAGGGCCAGGTGAGGTACAGACTGGGAGCTGACCCGTGCATTCAGTGATGTGACCATCAGTGACCTGGAAAGAGTAGGGGGATTTCAAAAACACATCGCAAATATGAAAGTACTTTATAGTCTTAAGATTTCAGGGTTTCCTATCTTAATAAAACTGGGTACCTAAGAGATTAGGATACATGTTGGTTTCTAAACATATTCAGAGAAAAAAATGCTTCATACTTAGAGTCTTTTAAAAATGAAGATGTCAAATGAAAAAGCATTTGGGCCAAGATGGAGGTGTAGGTAGATATGCTTCACCTCCTTGCACAACCAAAAGAAGGAAACAACTCATTTAAAAACAAAAAGCAACCAGAACTGCCAGAAAATCAAACTGTATGGAAGTCTGACAACCAAGGAGTTAAAGAAGACACATTCATCCAGACTGGTAGGCGGGGCAGAGACAGGCAGCCAGGTGAACAGAACATGTGGACAAAATGGTGGCTGGTGGACTGACTGATCCCACATTTGTGTGCAGATAAACCGTAGGAACAACTGGGGGGTGAGACAGACCATGTAACCCAGGGTTCCAGAGCAGGCTAAATAAAGCCTCAGAACCTCTGGCTATAAAAACCTGTCGGGATTGTGGCAGTAGAAGAAGCTGCTAGTCACTTGAAAGTGGGGTGAGAGCCAAGGAAGCTGCATTGTTCCCTCTCTGATCCCTCCCCCACACACAGCGCCACAAAGGGCGTTGCCCCACCATGACAAATACCTAAGGCTCTGTCCCTTACAGCATAACAGGCAGGCTGAGACAAAGAAATATGGCCCAGATGAAAGAAAAGATCAAAGCTCCAGAAAAACAACTAAGCATCGAAGAGATAGCAAACCTATCAGATGCACAGTTCAAAACACTGGTAATCAGGATGCTCACAGAAATGGTTGAGTGTGGTTGCAAAATGAAAAAAGAAATGAAGGCTATGCAAAGTAAAATAAAGGGAAATGTACAGGGAATCAACAGTGACGGGAAGGAAACCAGGGCTCAAATCAATGATTTGGAACAAAAGGAAGAAGTAAACATTTCAACCAGAACAGAATGAAGAAACAAGAATTAAAAAAAATGATAAGAGGCTTAGGAACTTCTGGGACAACTTTAAACATTACAACATCTGAATCATAGGGGTGCCAGAAGGAAAAAAGGAAGAGCAAGAAACTGAAAATTTACTTGAAAAAATAATGGAGAACTTCCCCAATCTAGTGAAGGAAATAGACGTACAAGTCCAGGAGGCTCATAGGGTTCCAAACAATTTAGACCCAAAGAGGATCACACCAAGACACATCAGAATTAAATTACCCAAGATTAAAGATGAGGAAAGAATCTCAAAAGCAGCAAGAGGAAAGGACAGAGTTACCTACAAAGGAGTTCCCATAAGACTATCAGCTGATTTCTCAAAAGAAACTTTGTAGGCAAAAAGGGGTTGGAAAGAAGTATTCCAAGTCATGAAAGACAAGGACCTATTCCCAGATTGCTCTATCCAACAAAGCTTTCATTTAGAATGGAAGGGCAGATAAAGTGCTTCCCAGATAAGGTCAATTTAAAGGAGTTCATCATCACCAAGCCCTTATTATATGAAATGCTAAAGGGACTTATCTAAGAAATAGAAGAAGATAAAAAACTATGAACAGTAAAATGACAAACTCACAACCATCAACAACTGAACCTCAACAAAAACAAACTGAGCAACTGGAACAGGAATCACAGAAATGGAGATCACATGGGGGGTTATCAGCGGAGAGGGGGAGAGGGGGAAAAGGTACAGAGAATAAGAAGCATAATTGGTAGGTACAAAATAGACAGGGGAGGTAAAGAATAGTATAGGAAATGGAGAAGACAAAGAACTTACAGGCATGACCCATGGACATGAACTAAGGTGGGGGAATGCTGAAGGTAATGGGAGTACCAGGAGGAGGGGAATAAAGGGGAGAAAAAAGAATAGGACAACCGTAATAGCATAATAAATAAAATATACTTTAAAATAAAAACAATTTTAAAATAATAAAAATGAAGATGTCATTGCAATTTAGTAGATTAATCAAAACTGGGATTGATCAGTTATCTGAAACACAGCTATTGAGCCCCAGCTCTGCAAAGCACTCTGGGTGGCTGTGCACACTTCAGTTTGTGGTTGTGCGGGAGTATCACACACCTGTGGTCATAAATACAGGTAGAGAGAGGTGCAGAGAACCACAGGAGTCTGTAGAGGCAGTGCTTTTGGAAGAGAGACTCTGTTTCAGGAGCTGGGTTGGGGCACTGTGGCAGCAATTGGGATCAGAAGCTAGAGGAAGGGCACCTTCCTACAGCAGATTATGGGGGAGGACGGATCCTGGGGACCCCGAAGATCTGGAAGCCATGGGGCTCAGTGACTGACAGACATGGGGGAGTGTGATTCCATAACCCTGCGTCCTGATGACTGAAAGGATTCTGGCACGGTTGGCAGTGAGAGGGTGTTGTCTGGAAGCAGCTAGCCCCTTGGAGAGGGGGAGACACGGCAATGGGTTTGGACCTGTTACGTTTTAGGTGGTTGAAACTGTGAGCCCGGAACTCAGGACCACACTGGGGGAAGGCTTTGGTTTCCAGGTGTTGGAAGAGAGTCTTACCTTGGTTAAGTGCATGAGAGGGAAGGACAGAACCCAGTAGATGAGGGTCTAACGAGGAGGTCAGAGCCATGGTGGAGGAAGAGGGTGAGCAATGGGGTCCTTGCACCCCCAGGAGGGAAAGAGATCTGAGGACGGTCCCTGCCGTGTCCAGGTGGCTGGATATGAGGCACTGCCCTCCCCTGTTTGGGCAGTGCCACACCACAGGCTTCATGCATGTCGGTCAGGTCCCCTGGAGCCACACACAGACCCTGCCCTGTGGCAGGGGTGTACACAGGTGTACCATGTCTGCATAGGTTTGCTCCTTTAGGCTGGACCTCTCAGGGTGCACGGAAGATGAACTGCATCGTCACCCATGAGGGCGGAGTTTGAGTGGCTGGCCACCACAGTGAGAGAGAGATCATCACTGTGTAAACTTCCATGTTTATTAAACCCCATGAATGTCATTACCTGCTCAGAAAGCCAAAAGAGAAGCACAATTTAAAAATGTAGAGAAAGGAGGCCGTCAGTCCTCCAAGGAGCAACTCTCTGGGTATTCAGAACAATACAACAGAGGGCAGAAAAGTGAATTTAGTAGGCTTCTGTGTGTTTAAACCTGCATGCGGGTGTGAGATAGAAAGTGGCAGGGGCAGTATATGCTTTCTTAGGCAAAGGCTTTCTAGAAGCAGACCCAAACTGGTAACAGGACCCCTTGGAGGAGGAGCTGAGGGACCAGGGCAAGGAGGGAAGGAGGTGGCTTTCACTTTCTGCCCTTTTATCCTCTTTGAAGTGGGTGGCAGTGTATGTTATTCTCAAAGTCAAGTGGTTTGAAACAGAACTTGCGTTAATAAATTTGTTAATGCATTTATTTGATAGTACGTATCAACCCTCCACTCTGGGCTCGAGGCCAGGGGCACGGCGCGAACAGCTGGCTGCCGTGCCAGGTGCCTGTGACTGCTTCCCTGTCTGGTGGGCCTGGCTCCTGGCAGGGAGCACATCACGGCCACTGGTTGGCGCCTTCTCGGCTTCTCTCTCCCAGCCAGCAAGTCCCTGCAGAGAGCCAGCGTGTGCCTCCCTCTTCCAAGGTAACCTCTGCCTTTTCTCTGCAGAGTGCCCCCGCCAGAAGGCCTGCGAAGCACACAGCAAGAGGATGCGGACAGGGGTTCAGAAAGACGTGCTGACTCTGAGAGAGACGCAGAAAACCAAAAGCATGGTTGGTTACTTAAAAGATGGTTAACAGCATCATTAATTCTTAGAAATTTTCTAATGAGTAGGCTTTTCACTTGTAGATGAGTTATATAGGTGACCCAACCTGATATCACCCAACTACCTATTTTGACAGGCTTGCCGTGCTTTTTTCTTTTGGCACCTTTTTTCATTTTTATTATTTGAGGTAAAATGTTCATCTGGGAAAATACACAGATCTTAAATGCACAGCTTGTGAGATTTTTTTACATATGTGTATGTCCATTAACCAGGTCAAGCTACCGAATATTTCCAGAACTGCGCAGCCTCCCTCAGGCACCTTCCCCACACCCTGTTCGGACTTCTGTCACTGTCAGCTGGAAGCACGCGGTGCACGCTCCTGTGGCTCCTCCACTCTGCAGCATGACTGTGGAGGTCGTCTAGACCCCTGTGCAGCAGTGGTGCTTGTTATCGCGGAGTGTACTCTGTGGTACAGCTATAGCACACTTTACCACCTCACTGTTGGTGGATGTCCATGTTGTTTCCAGTTTTTGATTATTGTTATTCAAGTTGCTATGAACATTCTTGCTCATGTCTTTGGGTGGAAGCTTCAAGTATTTCAGATTGAGAAATTTGGTTGCATTGTTTTAGACATGTTCTGATTAGTATCACTCCTCAAGTGTATCTTCCATGGGCCCTTGCCGCCGAGGGCAGTGGAGGGGCTCGAGCGTTGCCATCCTGCCGCCACCGGGTGTGCTGCGAACACGCTTCAGAGAGTAACCTTTGTTTCCCAGTTGTGTGATCGTAATGTTTGTCGAAACTTGTTTTTATTAACTTTACTAAGTGATGTGCATTTTAATTTTTTCTAACTATTCTTTGCAACTGTACTGTTATTCTTTGCAACTATATACTTGGGTTACTATGAAATTTATATTCTTAGTACTTCCTCAGCTAAAAGTTGCATAAAGTGCAAAAAAGCACATATATCTGTGTACATTATGGAGTTCCATATAAATAATTTATAGGAAAACTTGACTTTTTCTGCAGAAACTGCACCTGAAAACACCGGAGATGCTTCCATTAACAAAACCACAGAGCCTCTGAAAAGGTACGCCTGCCCAATGCTGGAGAGTCGGTCTGCTCCCTCCCTCACCCGCAAGTGAGGAGTGGCAAGCACATAAGCCTCTTTCTTGCCCTCCAGCTTCCACCCACAGATAAAGTGGTTCCAGAAAGATGATGTGGTCATACTGAGGATGCGGATAAGGAATGTGAAAGATTACAAATGCAAATATTTTAGAGATCGAGTCACTTTTAGGTAGGTTTATATAAATTTATAAAGTAAAATAGAAATAATTCCTAACTTTTTTTTTTTAAACTGGCTTTATATCTTTTTGTGAACCTAGTGCCTGGGTAGGAGAGAAGTTTTACTTGGCTGATTTGGAGCTGCAGGCCAACATAATAAAAGATGATTGCAAGTGTGCAATTAAAAATGACGAACCCGTGATCACCCTTGCGAAAGAGAGAAGGGAACCCTGGCACAGCTTACTCAGACAGAGGGTGAGTTGAAGCGAACTGTGGCCAGCCCTCACAGCCTGAGTATGTTTTATTCTCTCACTTAATGTAAACTGTTCCATTGAACAGAATCCTAATGTGGCTTTTGATTTTGACCACTGGGAAGAATGTGAAGAGGAGAGCCACTTCTCCAAGGGTAAGGGGGCATACTAGCCTGGCCATGGGTCCCAAGTGCCATGGAGTCTGTCACCGCTCCACCGATGTAGGAGTGTGGCGTTGGTGGAAATGGCTCTTTAGTGCAAAGCCCTGAGGAGTGAGATTTCTTCTTGTGGTTGGTGTCGGTGCCAGATGTGCTGGCTTGTGGAGGTGTCAGCGCTTTGTTGTAAACATGTTTTCTCATGACACTTTTACGGCTACCTTCCCAGGCAGAAAAATTCATGTTTTAGCAGAAAAAATGCATCTGCTCATTTCTTGCCCAAATAATGAATATATAAAATGATTTACAAAATAGAGGTAGAACTCAAGAGACTTTCTCTGCATTGACCAAAATAATGGGAGGGAAAAAGATGTGCTAATTAGTTTGTAGTTAACATATGTTTGTAATATCTAACTCTTTCAGTCGTACACACTAAAAACCTGTCCTGCAAAGTGGCAGAGGTGACCAGTGAGGACAGTGACCAAACTTCAGAGGATGACGGAAGCGAGAGCGAATGAGAATATTCATCAAACCCTGAGGCATGACCAGGAGACGGTGAACAGAAATGGATATACCGTGTGACTGAAGGTTGAGAAAACAAGCAGTCATACTCAAAACTTTTTATTACTAAGTGTCATCTTGTGGCACTGGGATTGGTAATGGTCAGAAATTCTGAATTGTTTTAAAAATGGGCTGAAGGCTCCGGCTGTGTAGCTCAGTTGGTTAGAGCGTTATCCTGGTACGCCAGGTTTGCAAGTTCAGTCCCCAGTCAGGGCACACACAAGAATCAACCAGTGAATGCATAAATGAGTAGAACAACAAATTGATATTTCTCTCTCTCTCAAATCAATAAAAATATTAAAAGGAAAAGAAATGGGCTGAAGATGAGGCCATGAAAGGAGGGTGGGAGCAGAGACAGACAGTGGGGTCTAACAGGAGCCCAGCTTCCCTGGGTGGTGGGGCTCACCGCCTCGAACGCAGCCATCCCAGCACACTGCAGTGCAGTGAGTGGCAGCGCGTCCGGCAGCATGCGGACCGCACACACTGTACTGTCTGGAGCCAGTCTGTTTGTTTCATTTAAACCTCTGTTCAGTGTTGGGTTGGCCAAAAAGCCTGTTTAGTTTTTTCCATAAAATAAAAGACACATTTTTCATTTTTACCAATGACTTTATTGATTTGGGTATTTTGAGTATGTCGGCTATCTCCTGCTATGGGCTTTTGGTGGGTAGAGCCCAGGGGTGCTGCTAAACATCTTCCAATGCATGAGACAGCCCCACAGCAAAGAATTGTTTGGCCAAAATATCAGTAGTACCAGGAAACTTCGTAAACCACTTCTGACACATTCCATCAGTCACAGCACCTTCTCCGTACACTGCACAAATCTTTTTTTTTTTGCATTGCAGCTGAGTTTTTATCTTTCTTGAAATAATAAAGCATAATATGCTAAAAATGTTGCATATCTACTTCCATCTTCAGTATTAAAATGGCTGCACAAAAATTCACCAATTTTGATTTTTTTTAAATGCACACTGATATGACAGCTGTCACAGTACAATCTAACCAAATTCTTTTGAATGGAGTTAAAGACAACTAAGCTCAACTAGAGCCATCTACGGAAAATATGTAATAGACTTTTTGGCCAACCTAATACATTCCTAAAAACATCTTGTGCATAGAAATCGAAAATTCCATGTTACAAACCCATGCTCAGCAGTCTTGAACAGAGCCCTTCAACCTTTCTCCCATGAGTTAGTTGGGATTCAATGTAACTGTCTGTCTCTAATATTAAGGTATTGATAGCTCCTCTGGGTAGGTTTACTTCATATGAAGATAGTCCAAGGTTAAAAATCAAAGCCTCAGCAGTACCAGCAGACCAAAGGCTTTCTGCAGGTCAGCTACTGCTTCTGAAGAACCCTCAGTACCTGCAGAGTCCTGGGTATGTGGGACAAAGGTTTCCCTTTAGTGGACACTAAAAAGGACCTGTGGGTGCCTGCAAGTAACCCTCAGGACACCTGGGGGTGATGACCCCTTAAAACACTCATGACCCCATTCGGGGTTGTGACACCCAGCCTCACAAGGTAATCGGGGGGAAGTGTATGCCAGTTTACGTGTGGGAACACCCAGCTGTAACGCACTGCGGGTGTCTGACATTTCACGTGAATTGGAAAAGGGAGAAAGGAGAGTTGCTGGGAAGTGCAGGTGCTGCACACACCCTCAGTGTGTGTGCACCTAGCGCCGTGCCTGGCAGTGGAAAAGCGCACTGCTGGGACAGGGCGGCTGTGACTTGCCCCCAACATCTGTATTCCTTCCATAGTCAAAGCACAGATGGTCAGGTTTGTGGATGTTCCAGGAGCAAGTCACTGCTTGAAAGGGAGGTAAACTCTTGTTACCACGCTGTCCCGTGAGCAGGTTTGGATCACACTGTGGCTCAGTTTCCTCATCTGTAAAATAAGACCTGCTCACCACACAGCTTATCCTCAGGAAGTGACCCTCCCACCCCCCAGCCCTTCACCTCGCCTCTGGGCTGGGGACTTTGTTCTGCCTGCAGGGTAGAGGGCGGGGAGCTAGTGATGGAGGTCAGACGCTGCCCTCTGGTGGGAGCTCGTGGTGTGCAGCCTGAACTGTTGCCATCAGGAGCTCGTCCTTGTGCTTGTGGCCGCCCTGCCTCAGGATGGACAGGCAGGTGTCACATTGGCACAAGAAGTATGGTGGTGATTTTCCTTTTTTTGCTAAGTGAGGCAGGCTGTTCAAGAAATAGGAAGCTCTGTGTCTTCACTGGCAAAGGTTTTGACTGCAGAGCTCCCCTCCTGTGCTCACGAGGGGCCGATTTCTACAGACACAGCCTTTGCTCCACTGTGGGGGGTGGCCCTGGGGCTGCAGCGGCAACCTCCTGAGTCCTGCTGGCTCGCCCCGTGGGTGTTGGCCACCTGCAGTTTCTGTTACAGTTGTATCCAGTCTCCTTTGTAAAACAGCAAATAATACTAGCCAGTAATTGCGGTGCACAACTGTGTGTGTCCCATGAGCCGGTGCTGGGGCCCTGCTCTCAAGGAAGACCTAATGCTCACGCTCGTGTGGTGCACAAGCAGCTGCGTGACCAGACCAGGGGGAGATTGTGCCTTCAACCAGTCTCCGTTCCTTTTTCCAGATGTTTACATTTGCTGTTTGGAGCTCTAAATAAAGCTTTGTAGGACATAGGACACTGACTTGGGACATGTAAACAGTTACAAATTGGTTTTTGTTCTATTAATATGTTTTGGGAAAACTACTAAAAAGCAAGGTAAATGTACTTTGTCTGTATTCCTCTAAAATTTCTCACAGTTGTGTGATATCTTTTGAAGTGTATCAATAAAATTAGTTTCTTTCTCAGAAATGTTACTTTTTACATTTTTTAGACAGTATTTTTGCCGAATGCAGACTAGAACTTGATTTACTGTGATTTCTATTTTAACCAAAATGCCAGTGAGGGCCCCCGGGGAGCCTGTGGTGCTGACCACGGGCTGCCATGCGCCTCACGGTTCCCGGGCTCAGCTCTGCAGTGGGGGCCCCAGCGTGCAGCCTGGGACTGAGCAGCCAGGCATGCCCAGGCTGACCAAGGGGGTGGCAGTAGTCTTGGGACAAGGGATAGTAAGTTGTAAACATTTGTACTTTAGTATTTAAGAAATCTGTTTCAATCAAAGCAAAAGTTTCACCAATTTTATGTAAAACATATGGATACCTTTTTGGTCACTGAGTTTAAAGAATGCCCTTTATTGAAGCACGTGTGATGTGTTCCTGGCTGAGGGGTCGCCATCATGAAGGTGGCAGTTTCTACTCTGGCCCTCCTCTGGCCATCTGCCCTGGGTCAGCGACACCTCTGCCTGCTGACCTAGCAAACACCTGTCGCTTCTTCCACCTAGAGCCCCCGCCCAGAGAACTAAGAATGTTTAAAGATACCAGTATTAAGACATCTGAATATATTTTTTCTTAAAAACATCAGAAAGAAATAACTACAAATGTGGCTTATAAAAATAAATTGATCACAGCTGGGCCTTGGCTAAGGTGACCGAGTTACTCGGGAGCTTCCTCGGGCGGGACGACTTCCATCAGCATCTGGAGGTGCATGGTGATGGGCTCTGCAGCGGAAACCAATCAGAAGATGCGGTCAGGAGACTGAGTTGGTTTTGCCATGCTTACCAGCGCATGGTGACACTGCTGTCACTCCATGTGGGTCCTGCTCACCCGTGCTCGAGGGACTCGGTGGTTGGGGGTGGCCAGAACCATCCTGGCAGCTCCAGTGCTTTTGTTAAAACACAGAGTCTATCTATCATTCCGTTCAGCTGCTTAATTCTCCCTTCTCAGTTCTTGTAGGGAGCAGCCTGGCTACATGTTTTGAAGCTGGGAAGTAAGACATTCCATGGCAAGGAGGAGGTGGTGCAGGGAGACGAATGGAAATGGAAGGAAACTTGGGGTGGTGAACACACAGTGCACAAATGTGTGTCATAGAACTGTACTCCCAGAACCTGCATAATTTACCATTTTTATTAACCAATTTCACCCTAATAAATTCAATTAAAAATAGAGGAATAGTGGGGAGAGGGGGAAAAGACATATTTTGTGCCTTTAAGTTCTAAGTCATTCTGGCTAGATTCTGTCGGTATGATCAAATCCAAGTTTTTTTTGGGGGGCGGTTTCAGAAGCATGGGAAAAATGGCTTTTTCTTACAGTAATACATTCTTGCCTTTCTACGGCAGTGTGTCTGCAATCCCTCTCTGGTGAAGGGTGAGATTACAGTAAGGAGGCTGGGGCAGGGTGAGCTGTTTAGGAGAACAGTTCTGGGTAGAAATGATAGAGCTGTCGATTTGTATTGGGTTTCATTTTGTTCATCAGCATGAAGCAGACCCTCTCTCCCCTCTAACACCACTGTCAGGTGAGTGATAGTACCTGTTCACCCAGAGCAGGAAACGCAGGCCGAGAGCCAGCCTGAAACTGGCCGGAGCTGGAGAAAGGCATCCTGGCCCTGTCGGCTCTGTCTGAATCACGTCTCAGGCAGCCCCACCGCCTGACCACTGGGGTTTGCTTTCCTGCCTCATGTGCCCACCTACGTTGTATGTATGTATACAACCACATAGGATGCCTGAAGCCTGTACCTTCCTGCTCCAGACAAGCTGAAGGAGAAAGGGAGGGACAGACTTCTGATCACATTTGATATTAAGTGCCTGTTGTAAAGGTCCAGCCTGGTTCCTGCCCTCTGGGAACTCACGGTTCAGGCCGGGAGACCAGGAAGCAGGCCACGGGTCCCCGCTGGCCTGGCAAGGGTGCTTGGGCCTGGGAGGCCCCTGTGGCGGGGGGCGTCTGCCGTAGAGAACCACACCTCGTGAACATACTGCACACACCGGTGTGGTGCAGTCTCCTGGCTCTACCCCGGCACCACTGCTTGCTTTTTCAAAGAGAAAGTGGCTGTGTAGCTGAATTTTTAAACAATTCTGTTAAAATAGATGAGGAACCAGGATTGCTGAGTGCAAAACAAAAGCCGTGGCCC